TCCTCATGCCATTGGGTGGCAATGGAGTATCCCTGGGAGTACCAGGGACCTGGTACTCCTGAAGGCACTGAGCTAATTCTGTTGTCCTTGAATCTCTATCAGATATTGTTTCTAAATCACTCTACAACCTGACTAAGTAGCTGGAACACAATGTATAGCTACTGGTGCTGCACCCAACACAAATTCTGTGAATGCAGTCCTAATTTTATTTAGGATTGCATTAATTTTGGGAACACAACTGTTCCTCAGCTTTTAAGAACCACTGCTGTTGTCCCTTATGAATTTGAACTTGTTATTCATTTTTTTGTTTCTTCAGCGCCAAAATTTATCACAAAATAAGCTCTCAGAGCTAGCGTACGCTTACAGACCCAGTCACGGTTTTTGTTGTGTTTGGTTTCCTCTTTGAAAATGCCAGCAGTTGGAAGGCAGAGGTTAAACACTATCTGGATACACAAGAGTCAAGCATTTGCAACTGAAGACTCTTGCTATTTCAAAGTGCAAATGCTGGGAGGATCTGCAAGGAGTAACTAGTTCTTAACTGTAACTAAATAATTTTAGTTTTGTAGACTAAGGATTAGGACAAAATGAAATAACTGAGCGAAGCTGATGTTTGTATAGTCAATCAACCCTGACAGCATCTAGGGAGGACAAGTTCTGAGACCTGAAACCTATAAGCAGTTTGGGAAGGGTTTTTGTATTGCATTTATCAAAATCTGATGATTTGAAATTAAATAGTCTTCTTTTTTTCCTTTCCCCTTTTTGTTAAAGTTGGTTTAAAACTGGACCCTCTTTCAAGACTACATTTCATAAGGAACATACAGCATAAAAAGTACCCCTAAGCAGGTCCTGGAAGATGTCAGTGACCTTAACTTTTATTGGCTGTAATAAGATTGAGGGTACTTGCCACCTCATTGGACTGTACCGTAAGGTAACATAAATCCATTTTGTATTTCCCTCAGGGAATGCAGATTTTGCTTGAACAGTGATTAAAAGCAGAAGGATATGAGGTGAAACTCCATAAGGGAGTCTCACTATTTATTCCTATCCTTGATCAAACCAATTAAACACTTGTCTGCTAAGAAAAAAATTTATGAGCAATTTCAGAAAGCTGTCATCTCTGACAAAAGAATTCATTCATCCAAATAGTCTGCTATATTATTAAAAATCTTCAGCGATAATGGCCCAATCCAAACTGAAACCAGTAATCTGACCAAACCAGTAGGATCTGAGCCAAGGGTGAATAAGCCCAAAGGTTTGAGTGATAGGGTACGCAAACTTTTCACGGTTTTAAAGCGGTAACTGAAGTGTATCTCATCCCTGCATTAGCGAACTGCTATTACTCTCAAGGTGCTGTTTTAGTAATAGATGCAGCTACTCACAATCCTGTGTCTGTAAGTGTGAACGCCATATAAATTCATTTTGGTGCAGTGTATTTACAGTGGCAGCAGCACATAAAGATTAATGCTGCTATTTCTGCCCATTCAACTAAGCAGTGCCAGCAGAGCTCTAATGTGGGATGACAGCCCGCATTGTTCTCAGAGCAACCTGAGGTCCACCAACCCACCTATCCGACATGCCCATCCTGCATCTAACATAAAGGGTCCTTTTAGGAAGAACTGTGCAACCAGTTTGCCCACTTCCTATCAGTCCTATCTTATCAGCATAGGCCTAATATCTTGATGGGGTAGATGTTGCAAACTCAGGCCAAGATCATGTAAGTTTTTTCCTACCATGGTCTGGAGCATGCACAAAGCTTATGTTTAAACCCCTTGTGTACTTAAATGAATTAAAGCCTGAACGATGCCCATGCTTCAGATGAAACATATACAGAAAACACCTTGCTGTGCATTGTTCCTGCTTCTTATGGTTCTCCCAAACCCCAGGTAGATCTCAGGAGAAACAAAGGTGTAGAGCGGTATACATGATTTATTCCACAAGTGCCAAATCTTGCCCTAACAAAGAAAAATTTACCAGGAATCTGAACTCCTATTGTATAAGTAACTCAATAGGTGAGAATTAGACCTTTGATCACATCTGTCTTAGGCTAAAATTACTCTGCAGAGGTAAGAGAGATCAACACACTGACTTCAGGGGGCTTTCTAGGTCTATAGTGAAAATTATTTTCAATTTCATATATTCAATCACTGAAAAAATTTTAACAGCTATCTAATATGATAGGCCAAAACAGGGGCAGAGAGTGAAATATCTGTGAAAGCTGAAAGAATGTTTCTCCATTTTGGTTCTTGATATTAAAAAACAACCAATCTCCCAGCCAAAAAAAAAAAAAAACACCAAACCAATCGAAAGCAGCTTAAGGTCTTAACATTCTTGTATTACAAACTCATGTTATCATAGAATCCAATGCCAAGTTTCCTAGTATTACCCCTGAGGTTTTCTTCTTCACAGTCATGCAAAATGGCTCCAGTGAAAATCAGAGTAAATGAATTCCCTACAATCATAATGTTTGCAATTAAGCCATTTCTAAACCTTAGAAATTATTTTGATTTTTTTCATTGCATCCCAGCTATCTGTAAGTCTTCATGAATTTGTATTTAGCAAAATGCCTTACACTAAATCATTGCTGTGCCTTTTAATAAGGAGTCTTATTTTAGACAACAGTGCCTGTGAACAAAGAACAACCAGGGGACAAAATTTTTAAAGAGGAATATTGTTTCTGGATACATTTATTCTTCATAACCAACTTGAGACATAGCAAAGGATCATGTATTTCAAACGGCAGGCATCTAGCACCTGCTAGAACCTCAAAGTTCTTTGAGATGTTTCAAGTTAGTTGCCCCCCCTCAAAAAAAAAAGAAAAAGAAAAAGAAAAATATCAGGATTACCCAAATTCATAATGGTTACCTTTGAAAGCATTTGAACTAATGTTGAGTTAAATTTTGCACAGAATATTTTGGAACGTTACACATTAAAAACTTTATATAAAGAAATAATAATAGTTAGCACTTGATTAGTGCTGAATCAGCCTTATTCAAATATTTGCAAAGTCTTGTGTCTGTATAACTATTATTACTCCTATTTTCAGATAGGAGGATTTGAGGATGACAAGTAAAAGGAAATATTCTCAAAAACAGTGTCTGTTTTTGAGTGACAAATGTAAAACAAGAAGGGTCCAATTTTCAGAGATATAAAGTACTTGCCTCTTTCTTTGAACTCAACAGAAACAGAAAATACACCTCAAAATATCCCTTCTCACAGATCATCAAAATTATTAAGATGGGGACACCTACAATGCTGATTTTACTAACTGATAATTCTGATGCATCACCTTGCCTATGGTTATGCAGGGAGCTAGGAGAAGAGCCAGTATTGGAAAGCAGGGGGATTCATCTCTGCTATTTGAACGTTATTGACATTTATTTCATCTAAGAGAGGCCATTCCAACCATTACCTTGATAACCTGCAGATTACAATACACTAGTAAATTTGAGATAGGAACAGCACAGGAAAAGTTGAACACACCTCAGTATGTTAGGTTTTGGAGTCTTTACTTTCTAATGCAGTAGGAACGTGTAGGGTACATTTATCAAAGAAACAGCTTTGTGCTTTCAATTTAGCATGCAGTAAGTAAAAGCAACAGTGATTTATTTTTCCTTTTAGGATGATACCTTTAGTTCTAGTTTTGTTAAACATCAATGTTTATACTACAGAAGTTCTTCATCTATCACACATGCTTTGCTATTCTTAGTTCAGTCATAAAATCATAAACAGTTTCTGCGAATGACCAACTTCCAGTAAAATTAATGATGGCTTCCCCCCAAGCAAAACCACACAAAGTAGAATATTATAAAATGAATAACCACGATGTGCTGGCTTTCAAAGTGGAAGTCTGATTTATTAGGTCTGATTTCAAAAGCTACCAAAACACATCAAGTGTGTTTTTATTAATCTTTTACACGTATTTGTTACTTAACATGAACCAAATTCTATTCTCAGTTACGCTGGCATACCTTCAGAGTACCTTCACTGCCTGCTCTGTCACATTAAAGCACACAGGGGAAACTTCTGATTTTTACATAAATTATTGGAGAAAAAACACCTACACAAAATACTACTGTTTCCCCTTTAGTATAAGATAGAAAACATCACAGGCCCTAATACATCCAAGGGAGAAGATCCGAAAAGATTAAAATATTTGGAGAATTTTACTTGGCTTTCAGGAAAATTTAATTTAAAATAAACGTTCCCTCACTGCTTGAGAAAAAATACAGTTCATGTGGAATACTTGGAACCTTGTCCTATTAAAAAGCTAGGGAAACAGTATTTACAGGGGCAAAATTCACAGCTGGTCCTTACAAACTTTATACATATGCAAGGAGAGGGTGGGAGTGGGAGGGAGAATAGCAAGGCCTTACCTAATTTTAGGTGCCAGTCTCATGATACAGAGCTGCCATATGTTAAAGGTGAACAAAGTGGGAGGATGGAAGAGATTAACTGTAATGGGTTTCTCTGGGAAATGATTTGGTGTTCTAACCATGCTTTTTCATACTATTCCTGTATGATTCTAAACAACCAGTGTATATCCATTAATTAATTAATGTATATGATACTTCATATATAGGAGAGCCTTGGGTATAACCTTGGGAGAGCAAGGTTATAGCCAGTTTTACTCTCAGAAATTCAAACTCAGGAGATACCAACTCACAAAATCCATTCAATGACAGAAAACACTGTGTTTGCACTGATGCAACGTTGTGCCTTCCGTGAAAATTTTAACGCCAAATCATACAACAAAAGTCAAATTTTGTCCTAATACTGGTTACAAAACTTAACAAACTCATTGAACATTACATTTGAACTAAACCTTGGCAAAAATAGCCAGGTGACTAGCTTTAAAAGAAGGCAAGATGAATTTTCTCCTACTTAAAAAACTATTTCCATCTTAATGCTTCCCAGCTCACTGCTAGTTTCATACACACATCTGAATGTAGGTAATACTTTATTTACTCTTATTATCCCCTTTGTGTTTCTGGGTTTTACAGATAAAATATCTTTGGAGGACAGGAATTTTTATCAGAACACCAGTAACTGGATTTCTCAAACAGAAGAACAGCCTTAACAATCTAGTAAGTAAAACTCCTTAATTACCATCTTTTTGCCTTATTATGTGAGACCTCTTCAATATACTGGTCTCCCAAGTTCAAGCCAGAGATTGGAAAAACTGGAGGAGATCCAGTAGAAGGCTACCAGGATGATTAGATGGTTGGAGAACTTGAAGAAAGGTTGAAGAAATTGGGTTTGTTCAGCCTAGAGAAGAGAAAGCTCAGGGGGATCTAATCATAGTCTTCCAACACCTAAAAGGTAGTTATAGAATTGATGGAGCATTATCAGGTTCCACCTATTCCACATTAACAGTATTAGTTCGAACCTGGTCCTATTAAAAAGCTAGGGAAACAGTGTTTACAGGGGCAAAATCCAGAGCTCTACACAAAGATGGTGACAGACAAGAGGCAACGGGCACAAGTTCAGTAGAAATTATCTCTGGAGATAAGAAAGAACTCTTCACCATGAGAACAATTAAACATTGGAATATATTGCCCATACAAGTAATGCAATCTCCCTTACTGCAGATATTCAAGACTTGGTTTGACAGGGCTCTGGAGAACTTACTCTTCAGCAGAAGGCTGGACTAGGTGATCTGCAGAATTCCCTTCCAACCTAGGCATTTCGCTGATTCTACTCTATGATTTTGAATTGCTACTGATTATTCAAAAACCCAGTGGGGCTACATTCAATTGTCACGTTGATTAAACAAAGTCAGTAAATGCAGTTCTACTGAACCAAATTTGCTGTTGTGACTGGTGCTAAAAATATCAAATGTAAAATGGTAAGGAAATAGGCATCCATAACGTGTTTCTATTAGGCATTAATTGATGGGGGCATGAATCTGGTATGGAGTATAACTGACTGTATCGGTACATGCAAAATACAACAATGCTCACCCTCTTCTTTAAAGTACACCAGATTATTTCAAAACATATCTGGGGCCAAAGTTAGCTCTTTATGCTTTGTTCTCCAGCAGGAGGAAACCACAGCTATACTAGCAACGAAACTGATTCCTACCTTTTAGTCTGCTGGTGCAATTTTTGTCCTTTTGATAACTGTTAATACACATTATATTAACAAGACACTTGAACTTGCTTTTTCCTAATGCATACTGAGATGTGATTCAGAGAGCTACATTACTATTTGACACTTCACGGTAAACCTATACACATGACCTTAACGCCTAGCACAGAATCATCTGAGTTTGTGACACACTACTGCAGTCTAAAAGGTAATTTTCTCACGCTTGCCAGTACTTAGCAAGGGGGTTGTTCGAAAATGCGTTCATGGGATACTGAAATGACCTCTCCTGAGTAAAAGAGATGGTTTCAAAAATTGTCTTGAACTGAGTATTCATGCACAAGATGCAGCCTTCCCTGATAGGTATGGAGAACTGTTCAGTCCCTAAGGACTACAGCCATGTAAATGTTTTATTCATGTCAATTATTCACATAAGTGGGTTTCATTTTAGTGTGTAACACAAGCCAGCTGGTTTGCTTCTTTTAAACTCTGAATTTCTCATGCACTTCATATTGCTACACCCCCTTCAGAGATATTTATGGAAATTTCACAGCAAGCTGTCTCAAGCTTATGTGCTATTAAGATGCCATTCCAGGGTGTTTACTGCATTAGACTTATATAGATTTATGGACTCAGCTACTTGAAGGCCCAATAAAACACATTGGAACTGAAGGCACCTACTAATTAAAAGAGTATTTGACTGTCTTTAGCATATTGTAAAATCACTGTGGATTTAAACAGAGCCTTTGCAGCTTCTATATATCCTCACAGCATAATTGCATAGTAAGAAAAGTGATAATTCACATATAAAATGAGTTTAATTGTAGCCACATTTAGGGAACTGTAACATGTTTTTTATTTTGTATTTGATTGTATATATTGGAGAGGGTTAGTGCTGAAATACTCTTAAACCCCTCATGGCTTTGCCTGTTATAAATACGAAAGAATGAAAGGGCCGAAATTCACACACAAAGAGTACAAGAAGGTTACAGTATTAGTACCAGAGCTGTAAAGTATCAACTACTCTGCTAATCTCCATTTAAACAACTGGATTAAATCCTACTGAAGAAGATCACCTGGTAAGATGCACCTCAAGCTAAGTCCCTTCTAGAAAAGGATATTTTCAATGTTAGGCAGAATTTTCATGTTGAAGTCTCTTCCACTCTACATCAGAAACAAAGGACTGTCACTACAATTGCTCCTTGCTCTAAATAGTTAACTTTCTCAGACTGACTTTATACATATTATAAACAGTAGCAAGAAGTATGAATTCTTAAGCAGACAAGAAGCCTTACACTCTGTACAGACATTTGGAAACAGCGGTGCAAGCAAAATAGGGAAATAGGTAAAAGGAATGTTAATTACTGTCATCTCTTACTGAATGCTCAGTGACGTTCATTCTAATGAATTGAAATAAGAACTGCTAGCACCACTTCAATCTGGTGATGCCATTCAGAAAAACAGGACACTTGAGACAGTGGTCATGCAGAGCAATTTTGTCCCTTTCTCTGCAATTATAACAGACAGATTTTCCTTGTCTGCCATGAAAAGACCAACATGAAGGACTTCCTAGGAGAGATTACAGAAGATAATAATGGCAATCCTGGGGCTCTATCAGTTGTAATGCTAGGAGCACACTAAGAAATACACAGGGAAAAACATTCTAGAGTCATTAACAATCAAAGATCAGATATGCAAAAGCTCCTAAAAAAAATTGTTCAGCTGAAATCTGTCTTCTACAAGTGCGGATAATATCATAAACATCTGATGCTTTCTGCAAATTAGGCTCCTACCACCTAGATTAGCTGAGATTCAACCTTTGCAATATGAACCTTATTGTCACATTTGCAATAGTTCAGCATCCGAGCGCAGCTCTTAAAAGAAATTTCTCAAGCATATTTAGCAAATTTAGCTTTCTCCTGAGTTATCAAGATAAATGAGAAGCACTTGTAACAAAATCAGGGAAAAAAAAGAGGTGAAAAAATCTCTTGAATGTGGGATTTCTTGTATTCTGTTGTTAAATTTTATTTCCTATTATTGCTACATAACAGTTTCTTCAAGCTCAGTTCTCAATTGCACTGATGTAAACCTCAAGTAATTTTAAGTGATTCTCTTTACCCCAAATAGAATCCAGTATCTGCCTCAATCCTCCAAATGGATTATATGACTCTACTTATCAACAGATAAACAACTTCTGTTAGAGACCAATAGAACAGTGCTCTATTTTAATAGTTTCTTATGTATTTATTTAAAATGCTACACAATTGGCTTTTTGGAGGACAGCATGATTCTTTTTAATTTCCTAATTTATTTTTCTGCAATATTTTTTGGTATAAATCCCATGTAGTAACCTACATCTGTCTGAAAATAAAAGCCATCCTTTGATTAGAGCTGGAATGCACGGTGTGCTTGAAAACCTCTGCAGGCAAAAAAAAACAAAAAACAAAAAACAAAAAAACCCATGTCTGCTTTAATATATCTAGCTCTAGGCACCATGGGGTTAGTTCAGGACAACAGAGCAGCCAGTTTGGAAAAAAAAGAAAAAGATCCCTGCTTTTCTTGGCTGCCTAATGCACAAACTTCAATGCTATTTACGTGACTTTGGTAAGAGCCTGGGATTAAAGATCTGTTCACTGCCCTTCCTATCTTTTAGGAGACTTTGTGGAAGTCCAGCTCCAAAATAGCATATTCCTACATGCCACCTATAAGAATTAAACAATATGTCAATTGCAGGAGCTAGAGAAGTTACTTATTACAATGGTTCATGATATATGTGGAATGGAAATGAATTTAATTTCGGCCAATTGTTGCAATCTATAAAAGGAATAATAAAAATCTATTATATGGATTATACTTTCACTATCTTCTAGAGAAAAGGAACAGCAATCTCTGTCCAATTCACTTCCCGAAGCTTCTAGGAGGCATAACACGAGCTGCTTTTCTCATTCATTTTTTTCTTCAGAATCAGAGAACACAAATAAAAATAATCTTTCCTTTCCTACAGTATACAACAAATTCCCTCAGCTTTTATCAAGCAGGTCTTTGTAAAGAAGCTTGTGATACTCTATCTGCAGGGCATTAACAGGATTTAAACCATATTGCATATTTTGCATTCAGTTAAAAAATAATGTAATCCTTTCTTCATTTGTTGTATATAATGAACTTGCACCACTTTTTTTCTTCTAGTCTTTCAGAAAGGAAAAATCATTAAAGGTATCTTTTAATTAAGGAAAGTCAAAAAGCAAATATCAGGAAGGTCCCTGTCTTGGTGCTTTGTATTTTTTTTTTAATCTCTCTTCAGATGGTTACTAGTTTTAAAGCTTTTGTAGAGTTTTTCTTTTTACTTTGGACTCTGTGTTATTGTAACATCTTTTCAATGTCACCTTTCCTCTAGTCTCTGGAGAGTTTTGTAAAATGTATTTGTTTGCAAAATATTCTAGACAATTACAGTTAACTCCTGACAGAGACATATTTTTCTGCATTTTTTTGCAGGAGAGCATAATTGCTCACTCTTCTGTCTATTCTGAACACCGTTAAGTGAAATTCACTATTGGTTAATGTAAATGTTCCTAACGAGCCACTTATGATGAAAGGTACAGCTTTATCTTTGGCAACACCTGCCAAATGTACAGAGCAAATCCCATGGACCTGTAGGTATAATTTGCATAGGGCAGAAATCCAAAACAACAAGAAAAAGACTTTTTAAAAAATTTTGGGGAATTTTGAGTATTTTTTTTTCACTCTGACATTCCCCAAATCTTTTTTTAATGGCTTGAACTGCTAGAATTGCATACATGTGACTGAGGCTTTTGACATGGCTAATCTATATGTCTTGACAGGTACTGAATATACACAGAATATGAAAGAAGACTATTGCAACAGGTACAGTTTCAATGGCATTATCTACAGAACAGAAGTTGCTTAACCTGCAGGAAATGATAACGTGATATGTCAATATTCTCTGAAACTCAAGTTAGTGAACCTATGATTAACATCTTAAACACAAACGTATGATGACTTTTTTCAAAATGAATGGTATGGCAATTGGACTTCTCTTGATTATTTAAGAATGATAATTAAATGTTTGCAGACTTTTTCCTTCACCCTCTTGCAACAACAAAACGACTTATTTCAGGACAAGGGAGCACGATGTGATTTCAAGAAAACAGTGATATTATCTTCTGATACAACCATGGATAGCTTAGAGATAAGAATGAATTTGTTGCTTAAGAGGTTCCCCGCATGATAACCATTCAGGGCTGGAGATGATACAAACATTACTAGTACTTCTATTATTATGCAATGGATACTATAGATTCTGAAATATGCTTCAGAAGAGTACAGATACAAAAGTTCAGGTTCTAGGTCAGCTGACATGTTTGGTAAGACTACTGGTCTTTCTGTTTCTTAATGCTACAACAGGACTGAAATCCCAGAATAAAACCAAACTCTTATCTTCTAAAATGCCAGCTGTTAGAATTTTTCCACTTCCCCAAAACTATATGAGTATTTTAAAAATAGATATGCCTGTAAACTTTTTAGGGGATGAGATTTTTTCCACATCTCCTGGGTCCATTACAGGACCAAACATGTAATTGAGTCACATTCTCAACACTGTACACTGGGATTTTTAGTGACATCTAAAGGATTTAGTTACACAGTTCTCACAGCATTTGAGTTGAATTTTTAACTAAGAAGTCCTCTGGGATTCTCTGGACAGTGCAATCACAAAATACAGAGAGGAATAAGTGATGTCAGTAATAAAGCTATATATAAAAACATACCATTGCTTTGTTATTTTACCAAATTTTCTGTTGATTCTAGGTTTAGAAATGCTTTTAGCTTAATAGGTTTATTATTTCATCTCCAACCCATTTTCCCCCAGAAATACTCACTTGATGAAGTATTTGATTCCATCTGCTGTATAAGCTTCTTCCCATCCATAAGGTAGACCTAAGATGAAATAAGAGAAATAAGATATCTCTCAAAGCTTGGGAGACAGAGGGACCATTCCATTTTGAAACAGTGCCAGTTAGAATACTGTAACTTCAAACCATGTCATAAAAAGATTATATATAAATTCTTACTGTTTTTGTAATGCATAATAACATAAATATTAAAGCCAAAAACCATTTGCTGTGCTACAAAGCTATAAGTTATTAGATGAGACCTTTATTAGTAACAATTATATTCCAGAAGCTGACAGCGTGGTAGAATTAGAGTCCAGCAGTTAACTCTTTTGAGCTTTTTATTGTAAGCGTGTAAGCGACCCAAAAAAAAAAAATCGTAGGCCTGTGATTTGCTGAGGCCTGTCTCACTTTTTTGCATCTATTACATACAGATGCAAATGACCATATGAAGTATAGATGTTTGGGCAGAATCAAATCCTCCAATGTTTGCTCCATTGTTTGCTTTATCACTAACCTCTATGTTTATGTATGAATAGATGAATATATATCCGTCTGCATATCTTGACAAAGTACAATTTACTAAGTGCATTGCTTAATTTTTTGATTTACACTGAAGTTTCTGGGACTTAAAGTTTTTAATACCACATCATTTAACATTAAAAAAAAATGAAAGGATGACATTTTTGCATGTACTAAAAAAACCTGTGTTCTCTTTTCCCCTTTTATAATTATCAGGCATGCTAATCTCCAAAATGCAATCTTGGTTTTTCGTCTCAGTTTGAAAGTCGCCTCCTCATGGATATCGATAATACTTTTAATAGGGTACTATGCTATAGCTCTTAAAAAATTCAATTTTTATAGGAAACCTTTACCATTTTTCTTACAATTGGTTCCACACTAACTGTTTGCAGAGCTTGAAAAGTGCTGGAGAAAGCAGCATCAGTCAATGTACAAAAATGCTCCTGATGTATTATTTTGTGATACTGTACTGTAATGTACATAAAGGAAAGTGAAAGGTCCTAAAATACAAGCAAACAAAAAACCAGCTCCCTCCCCCCTTAGAAAATAGAAGACTAGAAACAGATACAAAATTAACAAATGCATGAACATTGTTTTTCTTGTGCTCTAGCTTGAAAGTCATCTGGAAATGTTAGTGTCTTCAGAGTTAAACTACTTTTTTGTTCAAGTCACAATATATCTCCAAAACCAGCTCATCAGAACCATCTGTGAGCCTGCTTTAGATTTAAAACTTTTATTTAGAAAATGTGCTGGACTGCACGCAGCATATGATCTTTTAAAGCTTCTTTGTACTAAGGCATGCCCTAAGTGCACTCATACTAAAAACAAAAAACAAACAAACAAAAAAAACTCAAAAACACTCAGCTTCTTTTCTCCCATTGTCACACCTTTGTCTCCAGTGTTGTCATTACTTCTTAAAAATCTAGAAAGGGATGGCCTTCCGTTCTCAAGGATAAAGAGAGTCCATTAGAGCTACTACTTTGAGTCATTACTTTCAGGGCACAATGAATGAGGTACAAACCATCTGAGAGGTAACTGTGAGGCACCCAGTACCGCTACTGATTAGGCCAAAATGCCAGAATTTATAAAGATAACTTGGGAACTGGTACACGCAGAAGAGTGCCAATACTGTTTAGTACAGCTTGAAAAGCAAACCCGATGATGGATTTTTTTTTTCCCTATCACTTTTACTGTGGACCACTCACTTATCTCAGGCTTCTTCCCCCATTTTCAGTTTAGCATAGATCTATACAATCGGCTCCTCAAAATATGCCACCTATTGCCTTTGAGAGTAGGTTTGAGAAAATAATCCACAGCCACTTCTCTTTAAATACAAGGTAGTTGCTGTGTAACAGTTTTCAAGATCTGACAGCTATGAAGAAAGGAAGAAAGGGCTGATGTGTGTTTTAAGTGTGCTAGACATGACCACTAGACTTTCCTTCCTCTCCTGTAAAAGATAGGAGCCATATTCAAAATGGAAATTTTCTAATGATTTAAATGGGAATAGGATTTCATCCTTCAATTGCTTCCATCTTCCCTCGTCTTTTCTCATTCCTGCATATGTCACCATATGCAAGTCCAAAATAAAGGACAACAAATTTGCTGAATTATGAATGAAATCCCTTTGCCTGATCTATGCTCACACTTTTAGAAGTCCCTTACAGAGCTCCCATTTCATTCACCAGTGACAGTTATACTATTATTACTCACAATTTGACTAAACTTATTCCTTTTTTTTTCTTCTTGTAAATGAAAAATGATATGGAGGTAATGATAATTGATTCTCTGTATTCTTTTCTTAACCATGAAAGACCATGCTTTTTAAAAACACCAGATATATTTGTCACCCATACATGAAACGCTGGATTTATTCTCTACTGCTTTAACTGCTTTCTTGACTTAATATGCATTAGAATATATATCCTATTCACTCTCCATATGCCTCAAAGCTCCACCCACATCAGTAATTTTGTCTTTTATTTTCCACATTTTCACTCCTTCTCCACGAGTCTTTCATTAGTGTTCCCTTCGTTCCTTTTCCTCCCTGCTAGATTTGTACTTGCATTTCTTGATGTTTCTCATAGTAGTCAGGAGCCTCTCATGTTTTGCACTGTATTTCCCTAGACATCGTCATCACTTCCTTCAAGCTCGTTCTCTCCATGAATCATTCATAAGTTGATCTACTTCCTAGTGCTGTATTTTCACACCATCCAGGGTCAGATTTGTTACCTGTCCTAGGGCTTGCTCTGGAAGACTGCTAAGCTCTCACCTGGAGTCAATGGGAGGTAAAGGAGCTCAAACAGCCAGAAATACAGTCTGAAAGCTACAGGATTTAGCCTACAGAAACTGTTGCAGTTTTAGGTTTCCTACATACTACTTATTTCCTCTGTGAAGTGCTACAGTCTTTGATGAAACTTCATAAATAATATATCTTGGCTGCAGTTGTCCGCATATATCATATTTTAGAAAAAAAACACAGTATTCAGAAATAACTTCAGCAGTAAATACAAGGCTTCTTGCTAATCAGATATTTATGGTTATTTACCTTTTGCAAGGTAAGTAGAAGGTAATAGTGTAAAAGTAATTATCAATCTAACAGAATTGGAACACAGTCCAAAGCACCCTTTATCAAAATAGAAGAGTCTCATAAGAGAGGGCATGTTAGCCAAAATACATTATAACTTAACATTATTTTGTTCTGAGTGTATGCATTTAATTAGGGCTAATGCAAAGGAGATTTGTGTAATTTTATGAGCAAAAGAAAAATAACAAATCATTTGCAGTGTTGCAGTACTGTTGCAGCTGATAACAGAGCAGCAAGGCAGTCTCCCTGGTGACCGCTTGCCTTCTCAGCTGCAAGCTGTCTACTGTGATAACCACTGTTGTCAAGTTAATATTACATAAAGCAGAAAGGGAATAAGAATATTAGAGCTAACAAAACCTTCTTGACACTTCACAAAGTAGGGATCTCATTGATTCTTTTTAATCGCTTCTCCTTGGCTCAACAGGGCAAAGAAAATGCCCCAAGAACGATCCCTCATTGGTTACAGTAAGTAGAAAGATAGACATCAGGCCAAATTATAAACTTATATGAAGTGATATAAGTTTAGGATTTTGAGCAGTGCTTCTAAGAGGGTATGCATATACTTGCTCCCATGCTTCAGGATGGCCTTCCTGGAATAAAAGCTGCAGACAGCATATCAAAGTATGTCACTACAGGAGGAAGGGGGAACACAACTTGCTTTTGTGACAGCTGCCCTCAGTGACATTTTACAAAGAACGGTCTGAAAGCCCAAGGCTAACAGGCTGACTCGGTGCAAAATGGTATTTTTGAAATTCATGACTGAAGCATTAGAACTGTTCAACTTTAATCTGCAGGTCTCTGTTTCAGTGCCAGTTTTAAAAGCAACTCCAGCTTAATTCACTCCTGTCTTGATTGAGTTTCCTTATGCAGAAAGAGCCTTGTTTTACTGGGCAGTTATCAAACCTATAAATACTGTAGTGATGTAGCTTTCTTTTAAATAAGTTAGTTTACAAATGTTATTTTAGAAAAAGAAATGCGGAGATTATTACATGAGACTAAAACCAGCAGACACCATAGCACACACATTCAGCTGAAGCAAAACTGACACATACTTCTCTAACATCTAAACACTGCAGTCCAAAATGCTATAGTTTCATGTTTTCTGACAAAATTACTCAAAGGAAATGAGGGATTCAGAGACTATAGTAAGAACTGATCAAAAGAATTACTGGGCACTAGGATTCTATCTAGATTTGGCCAAAGTGAGACTATTCAGGTGCTTAAAAATGAACATGCCCTTAAGTGCTTTAATCGTCACCTGAAGGCCAGACTTTACGACCACGCTCCCCTTATCAACAGTTACACAAATACTGCTGACGAATTTCAAAAGGCTGCTTAGGGATAGCTGCTTACCAAAGGTAGTAATCTCACCCTCAAAACTCTTTGGTGAAGCATTAACTTATTTCTAGCAGTGTTCACAGCTTTGTAATCCACAGTAGAAAGGAAGCCTGTCTACAATTCATTTCCTGTCAGGGCTAAACAACCTCATGGCTGTCTCATTAAACCACCTTTGTTGGAATTAATATAAAGTATCAAGGGATATAGTATCTATCTAGAATTACCCCGTGGCACAGTACATTTATTCAGTCTCACAATGAACACATTTTCTGATCAATAACAGAAACAGGGATGCCTGTGTCTGCATATTCTTTCACCTAGCTTGGCTTTTTCATTATATTTTTTTAAAGTAACAGTACATGGTCTAGCTCTGACCTACCCTTTATTTACCTCCTGATGATTTATCTGTATTTAATATTAAAATTCTCCAAAATGATGTTTTTGAAAAAATAGCGATTATCTGTTAAAAGTATTCCTGATAAATTTGCTAAAGGACGTTATAAACAGTCTTCTCCTCTGTCTTTTGATAAAGGAGATTTTGATTTCTGATCTCTTTTCAATTCAGGAATATGCTGTTATTCATACTTAAACCTTCCTCATGTGGCCTCAGTAATAATACAAAGTGCATTAGTCAGTTAAGATACCCAATGCCTTTGCCTCTTCCCTTTAAGCTATCTACTTAGCTTAGAGACCCTACTCGCTGGTTCTACATCATCGAGTCTTAGGATCGTGAGGGCTACTGGTATATGGGACTATCCCAGACTAGAGACACCAGATGATGCAAGACTGGCAGAGGAACTCCTTCTTGGTGAGCTAAGAAATTTGACACAGCTAAAGCAAAAATCTGTGGAGAAATATCTAACCCTCTTTGTCATGTGTGTTCAATTGGGTTCAGGCATAACATGGCACTTTATTTTTTGAGGCTATCAATAATATATACTTTATTCTATGGCTTGTTCCCAAGTTATCTATAAAAACTCAGGTTCAGTGAAAAACAGCTCTCAGAAGTGAGTATGCACTTGTGGCATTTGTTTGTGTGCCACTTTATTCCTTAGGCCATTTCAAGCGCTCTTCCCACAAACAAACGTGTTTCATCTAATGAATAAATACTCTAAGGGGACATTCCATTCCTTTCTTTCACATATCAAATTCCATTCTAAAAAAAATCATTCTTTTTTCTTCTGTTGTTGATGGTTTAATAAAACAAAGATGGAGTAAGTAGTTTTGAAGTGGAGACATCTGGGAAATACTAGCAACTGAAATTTATGCTCATTTTGAATATGTTTGGCAGATTGGTTTCTCTCCCTTCAGTGATGTTCCTAGAAACTGTCCTTCAGGAAAAATATTTTTCTTACTTTGGATATTCAGGGCATGGTGAAAGACGACCATGTGTTTCCCCATTTCCTATTAATCATAAGCTATTGACCCATCCATGTTGGTAAACTCATTCATTTCTTACCAAAACAATAATTTCACACCAGGTGACAATTAAGTATCAGAGTTATAAAAAAAGTTTGTTTCTTGTGCCGAAGGTTAGGAAGATCTTGTTTTTATCAGAACACTTGATTATGTGATCAACTTTAAGGTCTTTTATGATAATTTTGAAATTACAAATTGTTATAGGAGTTTTTCCTTTATTCTAATACTTGCCTGTGAATAAGTTGGTTTAATTAATTAGAAACAGTAAGTATACAGTACAAATGGTAAGATATTAACAATGACAAGTCAACTGACTTATTTATGGAAATAAGAATGATTTCTGATTAATACATGTGATCAGACATTATTATAGGATCCTATCGCTCTGCTACTCCCTACATCTCCCACAGGTCTCCTACCTAGCAAACAGGGAAATCCAAATTTAGAACAAACTCTACCTAGCACGTGCACAGAACTTCTTCAGAACTTAGTGAGGGCTGCAGCCATCCAAGCAATGAGCTTTCTGCTGTGTGTCTTCAAGATAAAGAATTATCCTCTTGAAACATTACTTCAAAAATGTATTTTTTCAGAAGCTGAATACTGGAAAAGCTACTAAAAGCAAAACTCATTTTTTAAAAAATAAATATTAATATTCTTTTTTCAAATAAAGTTTTAGGTACTGTAAGATCCAAGCTTTTAGGCAGTTATTAAAATGAGTTCTTTTAAGGTACACTGGAGATGATGCCTACTTTTGTGAGAGCAAGTTAAATAAGCCATTAGCAACTGACAGAAAACGCAACCCCTCAACATTTCCACCTTTTTTGGTTACAAAAATAAACACTGATGTAACTCTCCCTTTTACCTCTGTCAAAAATGAGAGAAGATTCTTACCATTCATTACATACGGTCATAAGCCAGAATCTGTGCATCTACATCAGCTATTGACTGTTAAACTGGGAATGTCTTTAAGCATAGAAAAAATCCCAGACAAACAGCATTCTCTGAAATTCCTACATGAAAAGAATTCAAACTACTACTAATGATTATTATTTTTATAATGTAATCAACTTTTAGGAAAAAGGAATTATTAAATAAGTTATACTGAACAATATAAGCTTATCATTTCAACACACAATACAATCAGTATGTATCACACTTGGCTTATAGTGTCTTTTAACATACCACTTATTTGATAGTTAGAAGTTCAACAACCAATTTTGAGAAGGACAAGGAACATTACAGTTATTTTGGTGCAAGTGTAATACATTTGTCTAGTAGTTAGGTTAATAAAGCATAAGCCCTCAGAGGTACAGGATACTGAAACACAGCGGAGTTTAAGCCTAGCTCATTCTGACCAAAAACTGAATTTTGCAACTGTGTTTAAGATACTAATTATTTGACAATTATTTTGTGGTTTTCACCTATGCTGCTTCTTATTAAAATGCCACTGGCTGTCCAGTGACAGTACTGTAAGAATACAGTGACCGGCCCACCAAAATTCTTTTGTTTAATGCAATTAAAGCATATATGGAAAAAGGTGGAGGCATCAGAGAAAATTAGAGAACTGCAGAATGCAGAAATCTACTCCTTCATTAATAAAGTAACAGCTTTTTAAGAAAATATTCTGTTCTATGAATTAATTGCAGGCTTGCTTCTACAGACTTTCAATATTCCCTGTTAATACAATGCTGCCTATTTGTGATTGGTCCAGAACGCATTATTTCTGCTGCTGATCGAATACGCTCCAATTTCCTAAGTATTTTGGGGGAATATTTGCATGAGTTAACTGGTAATTCGTTTTGTTTGTAGCTATAAGTCTTGTTAAACTGCTGACAAGAAGACAGGGAACGTTGCGTATTATAAAATTATAGAAATGGCCCATAACTGGGAAAATTATACAAATGCCATATACACATTAGATTTTAATACTGTTTCCTAAGTTCCTCCACATGAATGCTAAGAAAGCGTAATTCATAGAAATAAAGTACTCCCCTTGGGAACAATCTTATTCTGAATTAGTACAATCCTTGTGGTTAATCTGGAATTCTTAGTCCAGAAATACAAGACTCTGCCCACAGGGCATGCACCAGGACTATCTAATCAGGATCAGTCTGGAATACTTCACTGTATGGACCAGCTCTAGAACACTTCTTTTCCCCTCTGTTTCCCTTCTCTCTTGATTCCTTGATTACTCTCTCTGTCCTGGAATTCATCCTTCTCCTCCTTTCCTTACTAGTTCAACTTCTCTTGTCACCATCTATTGTGCTATCCACCCACGTCCATCACTGTCAGCTCACATTGCTCACTGACGCATGTGATTGTTAAATATAAGTTTAATTAGAAAGCATGCATTAGTAACAAATTAAAATGACTATCTAAAATTAGAATTGAGCAGAAATTGTCTGAGATTTAAAAAGCAATAGTATTACATGATATGTCTTTCTTGCTTGATAGTATCTTACTTTTATGCACTGATGATGAAATTAAATTGCACAGGGGGCTGGCATGAACCATCTACAATTAAGAAACACAGAAGCTGCTGAGCTCATTTCACAGTTAGCACAGACCACAGTAAGTAATTATCAAATACTCTTGAAGCAAGAATGTATGATTCTGAAAATATATTAATACAAGATAGCCTTGTAGTCTATTAAAAAATATGTGGCCATACCTAAATAAAAGAAATGTGATGTACAGACAGATGTGACTTTAAAACCAGCATGTTCTAAAAATTATGACAAAAGTTCTTACAGACTAGGATAGGTACCTTCCCTTTTTGTTATAAATCTGAAGAAAAATAAATCCTTTATGTGCCTAAATTAGCATACTTTATCTTACTTTAACCATAAAAGATTCAAAAGCAGTACCTGCAGCAATTACTGACACAAGGCAAAAACCCCATCCATAACTTCCAGTTAGTGATATACATGCTTTATGGCACAAGGTAAAATGTGGCCCTCTGAGGCCATAAGTCTAATACGAGTGTTACGCACATTTTGTACCTCATTTAGCTCTCCTTCATAAGCATCAAGCAATTATATTTTCTCTTGCCAATCCTCCTTAAAATACACTTTTGAAATCTTCCTATACCACTCTTGGCAATCAACTTTCTCTGTACTCCTTTCCATCTAAATTATCACACTTGCGCACCATGTATGTCTAAGTAACTCTGCTAGCCCTCAGCTTCTCACTCCTACCTACTGCAAAAAAAAGTGAAAAAATGTGACAACTGAAGGAACTGATAGAAGAGCATACCATCCTTCTTATACAAAACAAGTAATGATAGCTTTAAAGTATACTGACACTCCAGGCAAAAGTCTGATGCCCCCTACTAGTTTTAATCTAGCTCTCTTAGGGAGCGGATAAGGCGCGTAGCCATAGTACCATTAAGTCAGCATTAACTGCCCAAAAACATGCTCATCTCCTCTGGTGGCATTTGCAGCTTGTGGTAAGCTCCATACTGTAATGGCTACTTTATTTTTTGGTACCTGAAATAACAAGAAACAGTCACTCCTTGACTGGTGTGCAGACATACATACCCACAGACAGATATCTGCTTACTCACCTCTCCCGATACCCAGCTGACTGTGCCTGAACCCTGCCTGCAAATCTAGAGGAGAGGGATGACAGCCTTGAGTCTGAGGCACCGATCTGGGACTCAGAGCCATGAGGTTCAATTCCTGCCTCACCTATGGATTCCCTCTGACTGGGAAGAAGTCATGTCTGCGTGATACAAAATTTGGAAAGTATTTTTTTCCCCCTCATCTCTTCATGTCAGGGATTTCCTAGCATTCTAAGAATTAATATAACATAATTCTGAGCATTATGTCAACAGAAATAAACAACAGGGACAATTTAGGAAGTATTTACAGAACCATAGAATAGTTGGGGTTGGAAGAGACCTCTGGAGATCATGTGGCCCAACCCTCTGCTTAGGCAGGGTTAGCTGGTACAGGAACAGGTTGCCCAGGACCACGTCCACTTGGGTTTTGAGTATCTCCAAGGACGGAGACTCCACATCCTCTCTGGGCAACCTGAAGTGTTTTCTTATGTTCAAGTGGAATTTCTCGTGCTTCAGTTTGTGGCCATTGCCTCTCGTCCTGTCACTGGGTGCCACTGAGAAGAGCATGGCCCCATCCTCTTTACATCTTCCCATCAGATATTCCTACATATTGATAAGGTTCCTGCAAGCCTTCTCTTCTCCAGCCTAAACAGTCTCAGCTTCTCTTTGTATGAGATGCTCCAGTCCTTCAATTATCTTTGTGGCCCTACCATTCAACATAATTGCTGATTCTGGACAGTTTTGATTTCAGTCTCTACAGCTGCCAAGAGCAAATACAACTTGTATGGAAAGAGGCAAAAAGTCAATTAATCTTTTTGTAGTGGTGCTACAGTATGAACTGAGTAAAATTCTGTATGAATGTTCCCATAGGTTTTTAAGGTCTACTCTTTAATGAAGTCTTCCATCAGAGATGCTGGAAATGAACCTAACGACACTGTACTAATCTTGTTAGCTCATCTGCATTTTAAGGTATAATAACATCACTTACTTGTTTTTTATTATTAAAATGTTTTGATTTGAAAGTCAGTACAGACAGTGCTTATTCAAAAGCTGACTCATTTTCTCTCATTAAAGGTAAGTGAATGGAGAGGAAATAAATTGCTTTTTCTAGCAGCAGCAGCAACAGAGTTCTGAAATCTAGGTCACATTAAAGAACTGCCTTAAAGATAGGTTTCAGACATTGAACTGTCTTATTTCTCACTGTGAAACACCATCAATAAATTCAATCATCAATGAATTAGTCAACAACTTGCTTATAATTGATACTTAAAATAGTTTTTTGTTTGTTTAGGATGTAAAATTATTTTGGCCTTATAAATGTTACCATTTATTTAGCTTCTCTACTTGTCCATAACTGCAAGGGGTAATATTCTAAATCTTGGATATCAAATTAAACATATGGGCTCTAATTTCTAGGTCCTGTAATAACAGCTACAGTTACTTGAAAAGAACATCATTCTTCATTCACATTCGACAAAATGTAGTTGTAGTCCAAGTATAAGATAATTTGGGATAACTCAAGAATTAAAAGTCATTTGTGAATGAACATTTCTTTGAAATGTCATTGGAAAACAGGATTAGAATTTTATAAGATCTCGACCAACTGGACCAAGTATTTGAAATAAATGTGGTGTAATTCAATAAGGACAAAAGCAGACTACTACCCTGAGGTACAAATAACCAACACCACGAAACTAAGTGGGGTTTGGCTGAAAGAACAAATATCATATGTATTAGTAACATGAAACTATGAAGAAATGGAATCACCATCCTGGGACATAAGAGCTGATGTGCTATATGAAGTCAAACTCATTCTTCCATTTTTGTCTCCCACAAGAAAGTCTCAATTACAGAACTCCGTTGTGGGTAGCACAACATTTTTATGAATTGGAGAGAATTCAAAGGAGAACTATAATGATGATGAAATGTCCAGAAGACATGCTCTATAAGGAAAAATAGAAAGAACTGGTATCACTTAAGTTCACGTAGGGGAACAGAAAACTCAGGCAGTCTTCCAATATGTTAAAAGCTGCCACAAAGTGGAAAATAGTAAGGTGCTTTCAATATCCATTGGGATGAAGAGAAATAGTAATGGGCTTAACCTGTGATGAGGAAGATTTAGGCCAGACAAAAGAAAACTGTTCTAATTGCAAGGATAATTAAGCACAGGAATAGTTTGCCTAGAGGAGCTTTGGAATACGTTAGACAAATTCCTGTGGATTCACGTAGACATAATTCATGTTGCTGGAGGCAAGTGGATGCACTGCCTATTCGCTGGAGGCCCTTTCTAGCCTTATCTTTTCTCATTCTGGGGTGGCAAGGCACTATCTGAATGCTAGGTTTATAAACTTCTGTTAGTTTACATTATGCACAGATGCTTCTTCTACTTTGCATTTGAAAGGCATTTTTATGTCTTGTATTGATAGAAGTAATATATTTTGATCATATTATGTATTAAACAACTCTACTCCTCTCTAAGTTTTTCACTGTAAAATCAAACAAATCCTGGCCAAAGAAGTAGGCTTTATAGTATGGTTTTTTAGGCTTGCCAGATAGCAAGCACCTGAATACCACCACCATTTCCCACCATCCCCCCCGCCCAAAAAAAAAACAAACCCAAAACCCAACAACTTGAAGCTGTGAAGTTTTTTTCTGTCTGCCACCTTTCCAAACTTTGATTTGGCTTCACTAGCCTTCCTACTAATACTTCTTAAGCACAGGCAGCACTGTAGAACAATAAAGGGTTTCCTCGTATATCCATAGCTATTTCAGCAATGACAATGCTGTAGCTCAGTGGTCTCAAATCTTTTTTTTGAGTCAGGGATCACTATCCATCCTCGAGAATTCTCATGGAGTATCATAATCAATCTTGTCTTTGAAAAGAATATAAAAGCACTAAGAGTCCACAGACAAGCTGTGAATGAGTCTTAACAGTTTTGTGGCTCAGAGATCATTGACAAACTACAGTCTGGACACAATAGCTATAGTTCTTAAATGCTTTTAAAGTATGTGGATAACCATGCAGTAAAAATTACTTCAGTTCAAGTACACAGTACTGAAATACAGCATCAAACCTATAGTATTAAGCTATAGCATTCAGAATAAAAATTAGCAAGAAGCCAAAAGCAATAAAACTTTTTCAGAAAAAATGAACAGAGCCTAAGCCAGCTGTTTTTATTTTCTATGCTTCCTCTTTAGTCATCCTCCTTTTCTAAAGAAGACTTCAAGAGGATAAGACAGTGTGAAGGTGCTGCTTGACAGACACTGCCCCACAGCCATCAACTGACATTTTTATTCAGCGAACATGGACTGCAGAAATATAATATATACAGTAATGATAAAACAGAAATACACTATTTTTAAAGTCAGAAACTTGTCTATCTAAGTTATCTAAGAATGCAGAAGAATATAATCTATATTGTTAACAGATTTCAGTAATAGTAGGCTGCTCTCCAGAAAGACAAAAGGGTGCTGCCAGGATTTCCTATTGGTATGAAATTAATCTAAACAGAAAAATATTTAACTCATATAACCTCTGTTAAATTCCTAGCTCTTTTCAAAAAAAAAAAAAAAAAAAAAGGAATGTGAGTCATGTAGCTGTTTTATCATTGAAGTTTCTCTATAAAATGAGGATAATCTTACAAGGTGTACAAATGACACAGTGCAGATGTAAATAAAGCAGATCACATTAGATTTACAGACAAACAGACTTCTGTATCATAGATCTTTTCCATCTCATTTCAGCCATATCTAAGTGCATTTTAAACTTAATTTCTATGCACGCTCATTTTAATCTAATTAATATTGGAAATATTAACTATTGTATACTATTAAATTCTCTGAAGTGGAACATTTCCTTCCTGTTGCAATGAAACATTGTAATATCCTCAAAGAGATTTTCTTTTTGGAATTACAGTTCTATGAACACTGTTGAAATTATGACTCTTCATTATTATTTATAATGTAGGCCAAAAATGGAAATTTAAGTGATTTGCAGAAAATTAAAAGTATGGCCGCTTCCAAAGTCTTGGTTCAGTGAAAAGTTATGTTGCATAAGCTTTTAAATTCTAGGTAATGTCCATTTAAAATTATATAAAATATGTTTTTTGTTCCCTTGAAGATTACAGGAACAATTTTTGCCTCTGTTATGCAACTTTGAATTTAAATTTTTCTGAAATATATAAGTTGTTCACTTTCGGGTTTCTTACTGTGATCTGATTTGCAGTGTATCTAAGAAGTTGTTGATAAGCTATCAGTTATTTATGCAGCATTCTAATTTTCAGAATAAGGAGAAAATTCAACAATGTCTACATTACAGGGCAAAAGGGATCCAGTCGTCTCATGTATATTTGAGTTTATGTATTGGTACAATTCAAGTGAAGTCAAGGGTTGTTCTCAATTTACATCACACTGAAGATGTAAAAGAAGAATTAGAAAGCTTGATTTCAATTCCCAAACTATATTCTTTTGTTACCTTAGCCATGTTTTCAGAGCAGTAAAGAAATGTGAGTCTTCTGCAATTTAACCAAAAACATTAAAATTTCTTCCTACCTTAAGTTTAATTTTTAGACAAAATCTTTTTATTAGTTCTGTGTTAGCCACTGTTTTTGCAGAACGTCGCTCACTTACACTGCTTGGTTGATAGCAGGGGCCTACAATCCAGAGAACGTCAAAATTGTTTTGAAAGGGAGACAGCTGCTCCTGGTTCCTATAATCAATAGGATTCTGTGATTTTTTTTGTTTGTTTGAATCGCTAACTGAGAAAATATTTAACAGAGATTTAATAGAGAAAAGTTAATTTAATAACTTAACATTATTGCTGTCTACAAAAATGGAATTACCCTCCCATGAAATACTTCTGTGCTGGGGAAAAAAAAACTCTTCAACCTTCAGGGACTAGTAAATATTCCACTGTATAAAACAGTTTAATCTATTTTAAGTGATAAATTCTCTTTTGGGACAATTCACCTCCTTCCTGTTGTTTTTGAAAGCTTTAAGGGAACAACACATTTCCATGGAGTATTTTAATTTCACCAAAATAATATTTTCTAATGGAAGTACTGTGTCAAAAAGTATTTAGATTATCAAGCATAACCTCTATATCTTTTAAACTTACAGCATTCATTTTAAGATCTATTTCTCCTTTTGCTAGTCAAAAACTATTAAAAAGGGGAGTGGTACAGATGGGTGTGGAATAGATTGTATAATTTAATAGGTCTTTTCTATTTCTGATTTCAGCAATGCCCTGAAATATTTATGGCCTTGCCAGAAAATGAATACACAGAATTCTCCCTTTAGTTATCCTTATGCTGCTCCTCCCCAAGCAGTTCTTCCACTAAGGAAGAAAAAGTATATTTCTAGTTTATTAGCTGAAAATGCATTAAAGGTATACTATCTCCACAATACAGAACAGTCCCCAGAAAGATGATCTTGCAGGAAATAGTTTTCTCCTCCTGATACTTAAAATGTCCAGACACACAGCAGCATGAGTTTCAGCAAATGCTAGCAGCCAGATGACATGCTCAGGGTGAATGGAGGACTCGTATTTTGATGTTCAGTCTCAGCAAGTGCAACTTTAATATCACTAGTCTAATTAACAAAACACTAAGGTTAGCCAGTGTGTGCCTACCCACGTTACAATTATGTCTGTATTTTGGAGTACAGACATAAACCACAGAAGGGGGAACCTTACCATGCTTTCATGTCAACTTTTTCAGAGCTCTTCTGACAAACTACAGCCAAATAGCTGTACAAAATTTAGCTTTGCTATACAAATATATTTCATTGTAATAACAAAATAGTAATAACGTATCTGGCATTAATTCTGTTGTAATAAACAAACATATCAAGTGTGCAACGTATAACTGGAAGGAATATTAATTTTTTAACTGTGTTAACCCTCCTCAAAACAGCAAAATGGTTTGAAAAGACATGCCACTCTGCCTACCTTATAACTTTGTTCCACCCACACTGTCAAATGAATGGGAAAGGACAGCTAACAGTTTGCTGAATATAGAAAGACCATGGCAATTTATCATAATGTACTTAAGAAAAACAAAACTGAAGAAATGGATAGTTTCCATATTCCATCTGTTAACAACCAAAATGCAAGACCTTGTCTGTGATCCAAAAATCAAGAGTACCTTAACCATCATGAGACGAGGCACTAATGTGTGTTGACCACTAGCAATTTTCATTGCCTTCTTTTTATGGATAGTCAGGCTACAAGGAAAATACATTCAAAAACTGGGCAGCTAAACTTATGTCTGTAGGATCCACATAACTAAATGTGTTTATACATGGTGACTAGCAAGGTCAACATCAATAAGAACACTGTAACACTTAATAAAGTGAGCAGGATTTCTGAAAGATGTGTTAATTTCAAGATCATTTTAGTGAACTTCAGCATGACTGCCATGTGTCAGATTTCAGGCTGACAACAGATTAAAGGAACATGATATGACAAAATGTTTCAAGATGCACTTCTTGAGTTCCCACTGAGAAGAGAAGCAGGCTTTATAGCACTTAATGGGATACTGGTGACTAGAATTATATCAACAACAGCAAGACTGTATTTTGGATAGAAATTGTATTTTGGGTAGAGGCAGAGTGAGAAATTAGCAGACAAAAAAAACCTTGAAAGCTGCATTAAGGTAGTGCAGGTTTCAAAATGCCTATTGCCTCTATATCATGAATAAATAAGTATGTCCAAGGGTTATAAGTATGTTCAAGGGTTAAGTATATTCTGGACGTTATCCATACTGAGGAGTTTTCTTAAATTTTGTAACAGAAAAGAAGAAAATACTTTTTCAACTCTTTTGAGCATGACTTTCATCATATAGACTACCACGTGCAGCCAGCAACTACTTTTAAATGCTATAGCTCTTCACTGAGGCGTTATTGTCTGTATGATGAAAGTGCTTTTCGTTTTTCTTCATATCTTCAGGAGATGCTTGTATTCTGCAAAGCAGAAAGGCCTCCCAGGACTTAGTTTAAAAATAGCTAACAGTCTTCAAGAAGATGAAGGATGACTCTTTCAAGGGATGATCTTGAATATTCTGTTTATTATTTTCTTATTTGCATTTCTGGATCTTGAGGATCCTGTTCAACTTTTTTTTTTTTTTTTTTTTTAAAAAAAACCAGAGTCCTCACTTAAGGAACTGCCAAATTGACTTCACATAGCTACTGTTATGCCACCTACAAAGCTGAAAACTGATCTGCAGCACAATCACAACTTAGGCTTGGAGATTTTCAAGAATATACTAAACTTTAAACCTCTTTTCTCAGGCAAAATGTGATGCTGTTATGCAGGAAGAGGACAGTTTGTGTGGTTAATTCATACATATGTTTTTCTGTCCTGGATGTCAAGGATGATCTTTAACAAAGAAGTCAGTATTCTTTTGGAACAACTCTGCACAGCCTTGTCTTTACACCCTAGACTTTGTTTCACCTGTACTGTAAGTAAATCAAATATCAAAGATACACTATAATTTGGGTTAAGACATAGTCCTTTACTTAATATTGCATAAAATGAAGTAAATATTGAAAGAGAGCATCTATTTAGAAAGTAAAAATATACCACTATGGCTGTGTATCAATACATTTTTATCCACTCAACAATCTCAAAAATATTCATTCCAATTCTCTAAGATTATATCGTTAATGAACTACTATATTGTAGACACCTTTCTGGAGAAAAGGGAACCTTCAGTCTTCAAAGTAATGTTTAGTACACTTTTTTTTCTTTGAAATACGATATTTATGAACTGGTACATACCTAAGAGCCCCCCTTTTAGGGCAGCCCATCTGCAAGATGACATGGGAAACGTTTTATCAGAATCTGGCACAGAGCACTGCACACAGAATGCTGTTGAATAGTTACTCTGCTTTAACTGCCTTTTTTTTTTTTTTTTTTTTTTTTTTTTTGAGAGCTTTAAAGCTTTAATCTCATACACAAGCTCGTCAGAGCCCAAGTCTATCTGTAATATTCTCCAAATCAGAATGAACCCGGAACGATGACGTTCTATCTTTAAATCCTTCTCTGCAGAGCTATTTTTAAACTTCATAAAATGAATCCATGCTATGGCTCTAGAGCTTTCTAACTTGACCTCTATTATATTTGACACAACCACGTGTTAGACTTCAATTGCATTTAGGACTGAAAAGTTTTCTTTACGTGATTTCCTGGGTAGTGTCATAGAAACAACTTAATGTGACAGAACACTTCTATTATCATTGGTGAAAAAAGAATTTCCCCTCTCCTGGCCACAGCTACTCTGTTCATCTCCTCCGTTCGCTCTGATTCTGATTTTCTGGATGCTTCTGCAACTGTAACTTTTCTACATTACACTTCAATTTTCTTCCTTTCATGATACGTTTGCTAGGTGAATACCTGTTGATGAACCCGAAAGTAGAGAGACTGTGCAAATGACAACAGAAACAGAAGAACAAAAGTAAACAGAAAAATTGGATGCACTGAAATATCACCGCAATTCTAAATGATCAGCAGTGTGGCAGCAAATCACTGAAGTCGCATATTACCATTAATTGGCTTTGTTGCACTCTATTATATGTGAATAATTTAAGTTTGTATTGCATTTATCACTTGCCTAGTCAAACTTTCTAGAAGGGGATGTAATGGATTGTATAGCTCTAAATTACTAGCTCTTTCAGACACCTACTCCTAGTTTAAACCTCAAAATACCTATTTTCTTGATTTACTAAACCACAGTATTCTTATTTAAAGCTAGTAAAAAAGAAGAAAAATAACCTTTTTTTCTTTGGATTAATATAAACAGGTGGAACTTTAAACTGAAAAGTAAGAAAACAATATACATGCTATTAAAAATAACATAAGGAATTATCCAATACTTTTTCCGAGAAGAATATTTATGATCCTAAACAGTTCTGTGACTTCATTTTAATTCAAAACATTGTCTCTTACAAAGATTAAATTTCATTTTGTTTACTTTTTTTGTTTACACTATATTTTTTTCTGTGAAAGTCTCACTATGATTTATTACATGGCCTTCAATGGATTAACAAATATTGTCATTATTATTACCCCTAGGTCACATGGGTAATATGCATGCAATAAACTCTCCTGGCATATCTGTTTAAAATTAAGGAGCAAATGCCCTTAATATTGTAAGTATACTATGAAGGAAAAACACTTCTAACTCCAGACAGATACTAGTTTTTCCTCATGCTACATCAGTTCTAGGAAGTACTGATTGAATCTTAAGCATGCAGAATTAAGGCAGCTCTGTGATCTTGGAATGAAATGAAAAAAACACTAGAGGGAAGAACTTCTACTAGGTGAAGAACACAACTGAAAAAGTCCAGTTGCAGGAGAAGATTCTGACTGTGGGTAGGGTTAAGGTTAGGTTAATGTAAGGGTTAGGGTTGGAATAACCAAACGAATAACCCTTAGCAGCAGCAGCCCTTTTCCTGCTTCTGTACGTCTTTCAGCATTCTGTAAGACTCTGGACCCCTAAGCCCATACCACAGTCCTATTCCAATCTAAACGGAACCTGCAGTCAGGATTCTTTTCCTGCATTTGGAAAAAAAGGTAACTCCTGAAACTGCCTGTTACTCTGCTCTCAATTAGCAGGGAAGAGGCTAAAAGCCACAACATTTGACAAAAGAAAGGAGTATTTATATGTGCGTGTACGCACATCATACATATACATATACTCACAATCTACTTCCAAAATGGCGCGGACAGATTTGGCAAGGTCTTTGGCTTCTGCTGCAAGAGCTGTTGTGACAGTAGGTCCAGTCCTTCCCAGCCGTGCAAGAAGTGCTTTGGTAGACAACGTACTTCTGTCACTGAAAGAACAAAAAATAATGAACATTGATTTGTAAGGTTACATAAGAAAATGTTACTTTTAATATAGTCAATCTGTGTTTCTAGACTGGTTTTGGTCTCATTCTACCAGTAAAAGAGACTCATACTACCAAACTGAGGAGTTTGTGTCAGAGGAGGTAATTCTGTCTGTATAGTAAATCTATTAGGAAAGTTCAACTGAAACAACATACCTCATGCCTCAAAATCTAGTGTCAAAAACTTGCTGGGTGTCAGCTAAGTAACTTGCTTAAAAGTAATTTGGATATTAAGAAGGGACATTTCTATAGGTAACCAGTTTTTATCTTCTAGTCTGTTAGGGAGTCAGTTTCTGAACTTGGCTTTGTGCTTTACACTTCAATCATTTCCAAAAAAAGACTACCAACATTTAACATTGCTCTCATGCAGTGCCAATGGGAACTGCATTTAATTGATAAGGATTAGCCTGTGAGAACAGAGAGATAGCCACAGTATAATAGCTGATCCTACAGATTTTATTGAAATAAAGTTCCCATTAGCTTCACTCAAATAGACTTGATTTCCTTGAGAGCTTTACTCAAAAATATGGCAGCACACAGACCAAAACAACTTTACTGTTACATAGATATTAATGGCAAACTATCTGGGATACATAGGCACAGTTGTGTTGATATTTTAAAGGATCAAAGGCTGCTCTAAACCTTGCTGAATATTCCCAAGTACCTTTTTTAAAAAAGAAAAACAATAAAACTTACACAGAAATACGTATCTATTTATTTATCTGTTATCAGATTAATGATGATGTAAAATCTCTTGGGCAAATCTCCAAACTTCTTGCAAGAGATAAGAACAAATTCAAAGCCATTATAAGGTCCCTTGCAATTTTAACTATGCCTGAGCACAGCCTCATTCGTTGATGGAAACATGGAGATAGCCATAGCTATGCAATTAGTAACTGTTCTAATTTAACTCTCAGGTGTTCAATGAAGCTGCACCCTAAAAACTTAATGTGCTGGTTTTTTTCACTCCAGTAGAAGTGACACTCAGAAATACATGGCAAAAACTGTAGGAAAAATAGTTATAAGATGATTTTTGGAGGCTTCTAAAACTGTAGTAAAGGCTTTCAATATTAATAACTGTCATTTCAGTACAACACAGTTAAGATTTGCTTACCTTAAAACTGTTGAGGAAGTAGAGTTATCTGAGAGTATTTCATGCACAACCTGTTGGTCACAGTCAAGAAGTTAACACTTTATAAATCAATGTTCTATTTTTAGGGGGTGGGTTGGGGGGAGGATTGATGTGTATTTAAAAAACGGCTAGTCTCTCCCAGCCAGATGTGTAAAAGCATTTCCATTCCATTCCATTGTGCCATCAATAACCTTCTTTTCCTACAATGGAATCTAAATTAATTTCTATGCTGACAATACTCTGTCATCATAAAACACAAGACATCATCTGATACCATCTCCATTCTTAGGCAAAGGTGAGCAATGACTCAAGCAACTAGTTTTCCTGCTGACTTTACCGACCCCTGTCACTCCATCCCCCTCATCTTCCTGTTTTCAACTACAAGAGTTCTGCTACAAGAACTGTTATCAGAACTTAGAATGATGCAGGCTGGTAAACGTTTATAAAGTTACTGTCCTGGCTATTAGCATTTTTCAAAATAATTGCTGCCTGTCAATTTTGCAAATAGTAATTTAATTAGTATTTCCAGAAAAGGCCTATGACTGGAGTTATCAATGCACGCACATGCAAATTCTTGAATCTAGTCAAAACCTGACATATCTTGAACTTGTCAAACTGTTCCATTTCAACAAAACCACTTTCATCTAAGAAAAGATAAATATTTCAGACACATTAAGTAATTATCCCATAATATTCAAAATAATGAACAAAATACATTATTCCAAATATCTTTTCATGTTATATTGTGATAAGATGCATTAAGTGATAGTATACACTTGAACAGATTGCCCAGAAAAGTTGCAGAGTCTCCATCCTTGGAGATATTCACAACTCAGCTGCACAAGGTCCTGAGCAAGCTGTTCTAGTTGATCCTGTTTTGAGCAGGGGCATTGAACTAGATTATCGCAAGAGTTCCCTTCCGACCTTAACTATTCTGCGATTCTGTATGTTACTTTTCATATATAAAGAAAAAGGAAAAAAGTTGTAACCCTTTAAAATGAAATAAATATCAGGATTTCACTTTTTTTGTTTTATAACTTTTCAAAATATTGTCAGATATTATTTTTTTCCTGCCTTTTTCTTCTGGGGAATTTCACAGAAATTGATAAGGTTTAAAATTTTCTAATCAGTTTCATTTGTTCTGCATATAGCAAAATGCAAAGATTAAATAAATTCCTACATGTACCTGCACTACAACACTACTTTTATTTCTAGCAAGTTGTTTTATGCTGTGAAATGGTTTCCACAAAGCAGTTTGTGGTTAGTTTACTATGTTTAATCCTCAAAAATATCAACATGCAACTTTGCCAAATAAAGTGCCTCTAGAAATGATAGGGGAAGTTACCTCTACAAATTGTAGCAATTTTTCAGTAGCCACCTCAAAGGTCTTCCTAGCTGATTCCGATTTCCGCAGTTGGCAGTCAAGCACTGTAACTCTCTTTCTCAAGTCTTGGATGTTATCCTGGGAAAGATATTTTGTCCACACTATTTTAAGGCTTTCATTTTAATCATTTTCTTTTAGGGCTTGCATAGATACAAGACGTGGATTAAAATGGATGTCTGTTTAACACATTAAAAAAAAAAAAAAGCAGGTATGCCTGATCTGCTAGAAAATCAGCTCCTAAACTACTATAGTTTTCAGCTTTTGGTATTATGGTAAACTGAAATCAGAAACTAAATACATTAACAGGGCTGAAACTTAAGATAGTTTGAACTGAACGGATCAAACCTGACACTGGCAGTACCTGTCGGCAGGGTGGCATAAATGGCTGGTGCGCCAACAAACTCAGACTGCTAGATTGAATTTGTACATCCTCTACCCAACAGAGCAATTATGGCATATCTCGGAGAAAATTACCCCCTAGGATTTCTCTGCATGCAGTTGTATAACCTATTGATCAGTGTTATGCATCATTTCTGTACTTTAGCTGCAGAGAACGTGAGCCCCAACTACAGCCTGACTCATTAGCTCAAGTTCTGGAGGCTCAAGGTTTCAGCTTCAGTCAGTCCTTGGTACTGCTCCTGTGTCAGAACCGTGAGGAAGATCTTCACATATATATAGGCATGTTTGTTTAGCTAAATTGTCTGCTGAACAAAAGATTTAGACCCAAATATGCTCAAAAATTATGAAAATACCACTGTCATTAAAAATAAACATTTACATTTACATTCTACATTTTACAATCTTCTCTTAAGCCCACCAGCTAAGCAATTTCTACTATAAAACTCACATTGAAAAAATTAATCTCACATATTACTGCTTTTATCTTTACTTAAAGCAAATATAAACACATGTTTGTTTATGCACAATAAACAAAGGGGTAGGAATCACCATCATTCTGAAAGTATGCTGAGTACATCTTTTTTGATAATCTCACTGTCCACTCTTGGAGAAGGAGCTACTAAACCAGCAGAGGTACCTTACTTTTCTATACTAAAGGGGAGAGAATTGTACTGAATAAAAATAGAAGGACTTTATACCAGCTCGACGCTGTTATAGCTTCTTGATTCTGCTTCTCTGGAATAAGAAAGGCAGAGGATCAACTCTCATCTCAGAATTTTGAGAATTTCAAGAATTCAAACGTCAGAAACAAATCCTTAAGAAAGCTCCCCACATGCTCAGCACTTATCAGATTTTGATATTTAGTCAAACCCCAGAAAGCAAACAGAGCTTCAAAAACATATGACGTAAAAGATGGGACATCTCACCGAAAGACAGATGACTACTGTGTAGACAGCTGCATCTGCAAATGCTTAGATTCCCTTTATAGTAAATGGTGAGGAAAACCAACTTCTAGGGTGTGACTGGTCTCTCTACTTTATCTACAAATAAAGGAGAGCCAATAGAAAACAGGTATCTATTGATGAATTTATCACAGAAACGACTCTTTTCCCCAGTGACTAAAAGGGAAATCTAGACAACTATCTGAAATATATGCATCTTATATGGCTACAGTTAGGTGAGAGGAATTCCTCCAAGAGTTACAACGTACTTGTTATGTTGCTTCTTTGCAAGACTGTAACCACAAAGCTTCTATACTAGTTGTACATTTTCATATTGAATTAATTTTCTTGATGAAAAGGCCAACAATTCAGTAGGTTTCCCTCACTATTCATTTATATGCACATCCATTTTTCATAAGAAAACAAAGTCAGTGCACACACAAACGTGAACCTATTTCCACTTGTTCAAATTGTGTGTAGAAAATGGATCCCCAATTATGGAGAAAAATTAGCAATCGACCCAAATGTTCATCCCCCAGCATGTTTTTAAATGGCTGAGAAAAATATGGTGGTTTTATAATACGCGGCTCAATAAAAAAAAAAAGAAACGTCTAGCAAAATACTTTTAGTAGCATTTAAAAAAATTGTGTTGATTAAATCTGAATTTACTCAAAACAGTATTGGACTTAATATTGTTATTATTTGTCTAACTGAAAAATGAAAATATTGAGGCCATTTTTACATATGTACGAAACCACACATAATATGTATGGTCTTTACAGGGGAGGTATCTGCAGTCCATAAAGCACTCCATGTTTTAACACTTGAGATGTGTCCTATTGACCTATGACACATATATGCATCTGGCTCCTATTTTTACAGCCCAGAGATACCTGGATAAAGAAAGGCTTGTACACTTTGCATTGTCCCCTTCACTACGCATTGTTCCAGTTATTGCATTATACAAGTCAAACAGTGACCTACTTTAGAAAAGCAGATGAAAAGAAAATGAAAACAAGATACATGACAACAGCAAGGAAACCATGGTAACTACAACAGGCGACTGCTTTGCTTACTCTATTTTGGCCAGAATTATCAGTGAGCTGAGCCTTCAGCTCTACAATTTCAGCTTCTAATAGGCGAATTACTTCTTCATAGTCCATCTCCATTCCATGAGCTTGCCGTTGCGCAGCTTCCGCAAGATGAATTCTACTTCGCAAGGCTCTTGTCTCTTCTACAGCTGCCTTGGCTTCCTGCAAGTTAGAGAATTTAATTGAAAAGTTGCAACTCCTGCTAATAGCATAAGTTTAAAAAAAGTACTAATTTAGCTCAACAGTACTGCAGTTGTCATTAAGGCTACCTTTCAGAATTGATGATTAGATGATTCAATTCTTAATTTTTAAATTTACTATGTGTAAAGAAAGAACAGATTTTTACAGATGGAGATAACTTTCTTAATAAGTTAAGTTATGAATTCTATGATTACTGCACATTTAACGGAATAAAAGTATTTGATGCTGTTAATTTGTCCCATCACTTCTGCATTAAGAAGTACTTTTAAGTATATATGTTAATATTTCATATATTATTATTGCCTTAATTCACATTCAATTGAAAGTTCTCACATTATTTAGATGGACTTCTAATGAAGGCATTCAGTTCAGATTATTCTTAAAATATGTGCTTTTGAATTTTTTTTGCCCAGTTCCTGCTCCTATATCATTAAGCTGCATTATCACCAAAGAGTGTTATATATACGTAATGTATGGAAACACAGAAAGGAGAAACTGCTTTACATTTTCAAACAAAGCTTTCATTAACTTTTAGGCCAGTTAAAGCAATTCCTAAATGCTGTAAAACGCTACTCAGAGAAGCATTTTTCTCAGTTAATTTTACAACTGAATTTTAATTCAAATTAAGTTTGATTTGTAAATCTAGAAAAGTCTAACTAAAACCCTGATCTTTCAATTCCTGTTAGCAAAGAACTGTTGTAAAAAAATCAATGCACAGTAGTAATCATTTGCAGGATTGCTCCTTTACTTACAAATGGCATCTTACTCTCACCATAAAAATGGTTAAGTATTTTTACTACAGATCACAACAATTCACAAAGACTTAATCCTTCTTTGACAGCAGAAGAGGGTGACACATACATTCTGGGGTAGCCAGTGCAGCTAACTCCCGGACAATCAATTAACAAATATTTTCAAGAGAGGAATATTTGCAGTTGTTAGGAGTTTCTGCAGTACACCGTGCAAAAACAGGGGTCCTTATTCATGTCTTTTTCAAAGCATACCATCAATAAACTCCTATGAGCCTTAATGCTTGATTAAATTTAACTGACAAAATGACAGATGTCACTATCCAAATCAGTTAGAACAGAATCTTTTCTTTCCTTCTTAAGTTTTATCAGAAAGCATTTGCTTCTTTAGGAAGAAAAATATAGAGCTTTCTCAACCACAACTTCTTAATTATTTCATCACAAAGCTATCTACATCCAAAAGTCTGTCCCCGTAGAAAGAAAGACAGAACAACAACAACAAAAAAAAGACATATGGAGGCACACAGCATGCTCTCAGGCTCCCTGGCACCAGAAGCAGTAAACCATTTTTTCCCCTCAGCTTTCTACTAATCTGGGGGAAAAAAATAACTTAATATGAATTACCTGCATCATTGAAATTATCACCTTTAAATACAGGAATTCACAGACCTAGAAATTCTTTGTACAAATTCCTCAGCCAAGATACTTAGGTGAATAACCTCTTCCTGGTTTACCTATTATACCCTATTATCATAACTATATCTTGGTTGGGAATGAGACTAGATGGGAAACAGGCAGGAGCAGAGAAGAAACAGGCACTTAGAATCTGTAACCAGGAAACAGCCTTCCAGAAACTGGCATTGAAACCACTGTTCCTGGAGGAAAAAAAAAAAAAGAAAAAAGAAAAAAAAAGAATGATTGAATCTCTCACTTTTTATGGAAAAGTGTTAACAAATGTCATAATATATGTGTGTAAACAGGTCAAATTAAGCTTATAAAGAAAGATTTAATTCTGTTGTTTCCTAACTCAAAACCATTTGTTCTTTGCAATCTTTATATTCTTCAGTCAGGTTTTCTTATAATGTCCCGTAACACTTTTATTGTAAAGTGCTCACTGTTTCTACCAACTTCAGTTTCAGATAACATTTAACCTGTAAACATTTAGTCTTAATACAGAACATATATTTGTTTTGAGCTGTAAGTAAACTAATTTGAATGGCATATATAGGACATCATCTTCCTCGTATTTACAATGGTTTTGCAATATAATACCAGTTTGGATGATTGCCAGGGACATTCTGGTCTCTTAGAAAATAAAACATTTAAAATAAAAGTAATCACAGATGTAGCAAACAGCAACTTCATTAGTGAAAACAGATGACATCACTTTTATACACTTTAGCACTTTCCATCATAGGAACACAAGTGATAAAAGGTACATTTTAAACAACATATATAACAGAAAGTTTTTTTTTTTTTTAAATAAGAACAAAGCATTAGATGTGCCTGTTCTACATGACCTACTATTATCTCCACCTGGAAACGGAGACTATTTAAAAGCTTGTTGCTGTGTGTGTCTTTCTGTTATTCAGCTAGCTGGTTTTAGAGCTGTCTGCTTGCGCAGCACTAAAAGCAGCTGTAGGGAACCATTACTTAAAGCACTCGCTAAAGACTGTCTGTGGTTCGTGAGGATCCCCAGAACAACCCACTCTCCTGCAAGCTGCTCCTAGCAGGCCTTTTTCCTAGAAACAACTCAAAGAGCACAGAGACTTCTAGGAAGTGGTGTACCTAATGCATGTGTATAGATCAAACCTACTGCAGAGGGCATTTTCTCGCCATGGTGGGAAACAATGCAACCCGTCAACAAGAGAAGACGGGACCCTTCTGATATAAAGGATTACTTGGTAGTCTTCAGTAGTGAAGACATCCTTCAGTAACAGCTGGGAGGTGGCAGAAAGACTCTTGGAGATGAATGTCTGATTTATCAGGGAAAAGATGCTCTGAAATTAAGTTTTACTAATATAAAGTAGGCCTTGACAAAGGTGTAGCACCTTAAAAATGAACACACAGGAATTATTTAAATAAATCAACATCAGGAAACTCATGGGAAAAAAAATGCTATAATAAAAAGGTCTTCATTTTGAAAGAAAACCTCCTCAAGATAAAGGCTTAATCTCTTATAATCCAGAATTGCCTTTTACTCATCCATTGCGTTTTGAGAAACCATTTGTTGAATATTAATTTCTCTGTAATAGCAGACTAACCATGACCAGATTCAACGGCAAAAGACCTAAAGGAACAATTAATGAACAATGGATTCTTATATTACAATATAACAATTAGCCACACTAGGTTTAAATTAACAACATTTTCTAACAGACCAGAGCTGTTTGCTATGAAGACATGAAGGGAAATGATACCATCAGGTTTCCCAGTTGCACAGTTACAGAAATGTGCAGTGTAGCAACTTAGTGGGTTCTCTAACTTAGGCGGTTTAGGGACACCCACCCATGAAGAATAAATGGATTACAGCACGCTTCAGCAACACGTTCTCTTGGCCCATTCAGCTGCTTGCATGAAGAAAGACACAGGAGGAATGGACTCTGCAGCTGTTAAAATTTCACCCATATTAATGGTTGATGGAACTGTTTGTCTTAACCTGGTATGAAGCCACTACAAATAAAAAAGTGCAGGCTGGAGGAGAGAAACCGAATCCTTACAGAATCAGTTTCAAGGTACAGGATTCTCAAAATGCTGCATGCCAGGTTCTAGTTCTCCCTTGGATAAAACCTTCTTCTGACATTTGAATTAATATGAGTAATATTCCAGCTATCACAAACAGTGAGACAAAGATGTTTTTTAAACTATCAAAAACATATAGTTACAATTCAATTATGTTTATTAATTTCACAAAAGTCATATGCTGAAAACATCCTTTAAAAAACTTCAAGGACGTGCAATACTGTTGGCAGTTCAGGAAGAGCTGCAGCCCTATGTTCAGGTGGGACAAGTTACCACAACAGAGACCTCCAAAATGTCCAAGTTCCTTCAGGCCTCTGAATCCCTTGGACTGTGTCAGGCTCAGAAAGGCACAACAGGATTTGGAGATACTTTAACACCATTCCCCGAAGGGACAGTCACTAGTTCGCTAGTGACTAGACCCTTAGAACTGTAGCACTGAGAGGAGTTTTTCACAAGGCTTACACAAATAAACTTTGTTTTAGGTGATCCTCCAAATGGCAGTTCAGAACATGAGTCTATCGATCGTGCATGCCTGACCTTGGTCAACTTGTAATGTAAGTATCTCCTTTTTTTTTTTTTTTTAATACTTTTTATCACTATGAATCTCAGTGTCAACCAAAATGAAGGTGTGAACTTTTGTTCTGAACTACAGAAAAGCATATAAAATACCTGACAATGCAGAAAGTATAAACAGAATTAAGATTTCTATGATAAGCCTGCTATTACCTCCTAAAAAAGGTCTCAAAATAAAATATTGCTGAAACTGCCCATAATTTGTTACTTTTCTTTAATTTCGCTGTCTTGAACTTTTTCAGTTCCGGTTACTTAAAACAGTTCTGAGAAAATCTTAACATTTAGCCCCTGGAAGTCTATATGCTTCTGTGCAAAGCAGACCTTCAAAGTCACATGACAGTATTTCACAGAAAAATAAAAGTATGAGGGCCTCATGTGGTAGAAAATGGGTATTTGTTTTCACTGAAAACAAACTACCTTAAACAACCTTTGGCTAAGTCTACTTTACTAAGAAGAGCACATATGTAGACTGAAACACTCAATGCTGAGGACCTGATGTCAATACTATTTAAAGTTTGAGGTTTTTACTTTGTACAAGCTCAAGTCTAGACTGGTAGACTGAACATCTGTTAGTGGATGGAAACACGAGATGCACTCCTGTAACACTCCTTCCACTTAAGTTTCAATCAAAAACCAATCTAGTTTACTCCACTGCAGTCTCACAGTGTGCAGAGCACAATACAATGTTAATGGAGAAAACTTCCAAGCAGTTCTCTTATACTGAAGGTTATAATAAAGATGCTCAACAAATACATATACAGATACAAGCAAAAATGTAAACCTAATCCTAATGTAACATAAAAAATAAGTATTTTTAAATTGTTGCATTTTTACAAATGACATCTGATAGAGCTGATAGCCATAACAGAAACCTACAAGGAGTGCATGCTGCAGTAGAGAGAAGAAAGGCCAAGCAGCTCATTAAGAAGAAAACCTGCTGATAGGACAATGTTGGGTAGAAGAAGCAGGAAACAGGTAAGTTATCTGGTTTTGAATCCAGGCTATAAATGAAGCAGGACATAAATATAGTTGGAATTTTTTTTTTTTTTAAGATATACAAGAAGGCTAAATTTCCTAAGCAACTCTGATTTCTTCTCCCCAAAATTATCAATGACTATGGAAGCACAAACAAGATAATTTCTCAGTGTTTTGTGAGGATAAGAGAGACAAATCTTTAGAATTACATATTTTTAAGAAACTAACATACTTGCTTGACTGTTTGTAGCTCCTCTGTTAACTGTTTCTGTAAATTCACAGATTCAGACAATTCTTCCTGTCCAAGAAAAAAGAAAGGGGGGCAAGAAATAATTAGGTCTAAAAGAGAAATAGTTTTTTATTCTCCGCTCTTACTTAGGACCAACTAGCTCCATCAAAACTACAGCTAGCAACACTCAACACCATTTAGTTTCTACCAATGTACTTACTACTGACTTACTATGTTTCTAAGCCATAACACACGTTTACTAATAATGTTAAATAAACAGAGACACATTTTAAAAAAATTCTGGTGGAAATAACAAATAATCATCAGTTCTTACAAAACCTAGGACCAAACTAAATTTTAATTTCTAAAGGCTAGTTTTTCATTTCAGAGAGTTCATTGATACTGTACTGTTTAAGTTTCTTGGGCAGCTGAGGATTATATTACTTCTGTAATGTAGACAAAATACACATTTTAAGTCTTATATAGTTCTCTTGTTACCCAGGCACCTAGCAAATGAGAGGAATAAAGACTTGTTTGTGGTTTTCATAGATTGCTGTGCAACCTACGTTTCCCCTCCTCTCCCCCACTTTTTTTGTTTTTAAGGAGAGAAAACACAGTTTATTTTCCTGATATCCGTGTTATATACACTTATATGTGTTCTTAATACTAAAGTTATTTTCACCATTATATGTACAACCATTCTTTCAATCACCAACTTATACCAGAAGCCTGTAGGAGTACCATTTTCAGAAGGTTAAAAGTTGTAAAAAAGTTCTTTAAAAATTGCCAAAGGAAATACAGAACATACTGAGTCAAATCACGAATATTTCTAACTCAGTATCCTGTCTTTGACTGTAGATAATTAAGAAAAAAGTATAAGAAGTAGGGCCATTATAGATTGATCCTTGCCAGTTTTCAACACGAACAGTTTAGGGAGTCATGATGCCTATTCGTCACTTCAATGGTCACAGGAAAACAAGCATTTTTTTCTTTTCAATATCAAGCTTTCAGGAGAAGAGCATTCATATTCAGACCTAAGAAGAGTTCTTTGGACATGTCAACTCAAAGTTTTTGTAATCTGTCCCAAGAAAGAATTTTTTGGACCAGGCAGTGATTTGTAGAATTGCCTCTATCCTTGGATTGCTTTTACAAGTCATGTCCAAAACCACAGGTTATGTACACTGAATACAACGCCACTTTTTTTTTTTTGTTTTTTTACATCTTTTGGGTATTCCAAAAAGGATATTCAGAAATATAGGAACATGGCTGTAACATACAGTATTAAACCACAAGAAATATATTTGTTGCTTTAGGTCTTGTATTTTATATTCTATAATGTTTATGATAAACATACATTAACTTTGAAAACAGATGAATTTATCCTCCATTTCTGACTTCTTTCAAAACAGATGAATTTACCCCCCAATTCTGACTTCTTTCAAAAATATTAATATATGCTCAGTCACTGTGGTTACTAGGATCACATAATTTCTAAATAAACACGTCCTGCAAAAATCAATCATATCTCCAAATTCACTTTTATGACATGTCTCCTTAGTCTCATTTCTCTGTGAATCAGACCAGAAGAACGTATTAGTGTTCAGTATACCAAACAAAATTCACATTCTCCAGAAATGCATTGTAAGCATACCATTTTCAAACATAACTAATGGTTTGCTCTTCCCTTCTATTTTTTCATCTTAATTTGCACATAGAAAGCAAAAGAAAAACATCAAATTACATACCATATACACTCAAAAAAGAAATTATCATCTTGAATAATTTAAAAGTAATCAAAATTAAGTATTACCTTTAATTTACTTATTTCTTTTAAAGCTTCATTTCTTTCTTTCTTAAGCCTTTCCATATCATCCTCCAAAGAATCACAAGCTGCAAACTGTGCATATTTAAATAGGGAGAGTTAGAAACCAGTGCTAACTGCATCTCTCATAATCGTTAACAATTTTTTCTTAAAAGGTCTTGTTAATGAGAGCATAATCTTAAATTTATTTAAAAAATAAAAAATGATTTGCAGAAATACGAAAAATGTTTGATACAATGTTGAGCAACTTACCTTCCAACAGAACAATAACATTAGTGATTTTCAGTTATGAAAGTTCAAATCACTAGGCTCCATAATTGTTTATTACCCACACAGTTAGTAGTAAAATGTAGCCCATTTAAGAAACCTCAGTAAATCACTGTAGTCCATATGCTTAACAAATCAAAAATAATTATGTGAACTGCTTTTTAAAAAGCTTCAGAGAAACTAGGTTACCCTAAAGAAAACCTTGATCTGGAACTGTTCTAAAAATGTGTCTAAGATTGGAATAATTTTAAAAAGAATTAAGCTTTCCAATAATCTCCTCACAATAGTTAAATAGTAGTACAGGCATGAACTTTACCTGTGAATCTGAAAACCTGGCAGTTTCATTGGCCTCAAACGTTACAGGTTTTTCGTCACCATCTGTTGCATTCAATTGCAAAGAGAACAGATTCCTTGAAACCTGAACGAAATCTAAAACACATTTTAGATTGTGTTGCTGTAGTCTGCACTTTCAGTTTAGTGGCAGTATCACCAGATATAATGTAACTACTAGTATCATAATGCAGGTTACCCTTTAAAAATACAGTGCCTGCCCTCCATTACTTTGCTACAATTTTGTCAGACACTTCTCAGAGCAGAAATACTTGGTCAGGCTAGTAAAAATAAGAACAAAAATTTTCAAAACAGCCCTGAGATGAAATTCCCTTCGTTCAAGTTGTGTAAGAGGAAGAAAAAAAGGCGCTGTAAAGTTCACCTTTAGTTCCTGGTTACAGATATTCTATGTGGCAGATCTTTGCAAAAATTTAAGAGAAATCTGCACACCTATTATACAGCTGCCTTTCCCAGTGGATTATCTTTCTAGAGGAGACTCAATATCTCTGTAGGAGAAAGGGAAAACTTCGTGCAATCTCACAGCTAATCTTTCCCTTTGCAAGTCCTTTAAATCCCCGAAAAAGATCTGGCAAAATTTATGTTGACCAAGACAGTTTTAAATACAAGCATTACAACCTGCTCAGTTGACAGGGCTTTGATTACACATTTAGTTTAAATGTATAAAAATACTTACTGCTACAACATGCCAGAAAAGTGGTAAGATAAAGGTCAGTTTGTGTATACTATAAAATCTGATAGAAGATCAAGTACCTTTCTTGATAAGATAGTTCAAAATCCAATTTAAGTGAAATTTCCATCAGTATTAGCATCCTAACTATCAGACCTCTCACGGCATATGACAACTATTCTGAACTTGGTAGTGTCACATACTAAACTTGTCATAGCCACCTGAGGAAACTGATTTCCATCAGAATTAGGTTTAGCTGGAAGAATCATGACAGTCTCCATGCAAATCTTTCTGTATATCATACAGTTCAAATGCTATGGTGCTCACAAACTAAACACATTAAATGATCGGTCTGTTCAGTTGCTTCAAGAAGTCATCTTAATTATCAGCACTCTCCCAAGTACCCAAGCAATTTTTGGAACAATTACAGTGCCTCTCAAAATGAGGCACCCTCTATTTTAAGGGGTATTGATTTCAGCCAAAAAAAAAAAAACAACACACACCCAACTATGCACATAAATAAAGACAAGAATGAATAAACATACAATAGTTTTAGATCTTCATAAACTGCTGTGATAGTCTATTAATATTTAATATAATGCAATTTGATAATACAGAAATGTGTGCTTATACCTATATTTACATATTGACTCAGACATAATACTTGAGAACACTCCAAGAGTGTTTATCTTCTACATCTAGTTACACCTAAACTGAAAGCCACTATTAAAGCATCTTATGACTACTTCTTAAGACATAAGAGTAGATATATTTAGTGTTTAAAACACAAACTGCTTTCATACTTCATTTTAGTGAAATGTTTTCTTAAGGACAAACCATTTTCTTTGAAAAAAATCCTTACACTATTAAGATGTCCTATTTGCAAGGCAAATTTAGAAATTTGTAAGTGAGCACAAAATCAAAACTTTCTCAAGATTGCTCTTTATCAGATAAAATTGTGATTTGCTTTTCAACCACCTTGTTTCAGAATTCCAAGCTTTTCCTTTTTTTTTTTTTTTAGAATCAGAAAAATAAGATTCCTGCCTCAGAGTTCCATTTCATTGAAGTAGTAACACATACAGATGGGAAGGATATTGCAATGGAAAATGTATTAGTGGGTATTATTATCATTTCTATATTTCATTACGTTATTTTCCAGGGCAATTAACAAATGATTACCTCCAAAAGACACTGTTCCTTCAGAATCCTTCTCAAGCTGCTGCCTTAGCGCTTGCTGCTGTTCATCTGTGGGCTGAATCCCAAGATAATTCAAAGCCTGGAAGGTGAAGATTTATTTGGAGGAAAAGAAAAAAAAAGACTGGGGATAATGACTGCAGGGACATGGGTGGAGTAATTAAAGATCTCCATTTCAAACAGCCTTTTTGTATCATTGTGCTCTCTCCCTGACAACCCTTTTATTCCAGAGGCTATGACTTTTCCTTCTAATTGAGAGATATTCATATTATTTATCCTTGAATACAAATGAGTATAATGAGTGCAAAACCCTTTGTCCTGGGTAACGGCCTTAAAAATCCTGGTGGATGCTCACATTCCCAGAAGGTAACAGATTTAATCATTAACTAGATAAATAGAAACAGTGATTTGCCCAATGTATAAAATGAAGCATCAGTCTGCAACCTGAAAGAACTATCCAAATAGGAAATTGTATGTACATTTTACGCCTTTATGCTTGTCAAGCTGGAAATATTCTCTGGTTGTTTTATATGCACCATTAAGGGAAGAGAAAGAAAAATCTCACAAGGTTAAAAATATTCACCCTCTCCAGTTTTTCTGCTTTGAGACGAACAGTAGAGTTCAAGAAATTCTTCCTTCCCTGTAGCCCATAATCATCAACCTGGTTGGGGGAGATAACTAAGAAGAAAAAATTTTTAATTAAATGAAGATTGAGTTGTAACTCTTGCTTTCTGAATAACTTGTTCGGAAGTTCTGCTCTTCAAACTAATCCCAACTAAATACCTAAATGCCACAATAAATGTTAATATGTAGATTGATTTTTTTTTAATAAAAAGACATTATTGGAATAAACAAAAAATATGGATATCACTTGATCGCTTAAACTATTTTGAAATCATTCATCAAAAAGTGACAGTTAGCAAATTAGTAGAGATAAACAGAACAATTTCTAGCATCGCACAAGGAGAAGCATATGGCTTATACTTGTGGTTTTTTTCTTTCAAAAACACATTGAGTAACTCTAGGAACAGAAGGGGAAATGCACTTATGAATTCCAGTAAAGACTTTCTCCGAGACGTATCCTTGGCACAATCAACAGTTCCCAAAAGCATACCTAGTAATCTAGCAAACACTGTGGAAAGAGAGGGAATGACCTGTTGCACTAAAGGCTGTGCTGAGTAAGGTTAGACCAAATCCCAGCAGACTCCTCAGGTTTTTTTAATATATAAGCTCTATATACAAAGTGTTCACCACCCCCTCTCCAGTCCTTGCGGTAGGAAATAACAATTTTGCATTATTTTAACTAATTGCATTAATCCAGTATAGTGCATCTATTTTATTCCCAACATATACAAATATTTAATTTGGGGAGGAGAGGGAAAGAAACTAGCAGCGCTAGAGAGAAAACATGCAGGATTTCAGAACTAATGCTCCATGTTTTGTTTTTTTTTAAATGGAAGTTGAAAAATTTAGTCATAGCTTTGTCATGGTTGAGACATACCTCTGGAGACAACACAAGAGGAGGCACCCTTTGGAAATCTTTGAACATAGACTACATGCAAAAGTGGCAGTTAACTTGTAGTTTCTTTGGCTGTTAGATATAGTACACTTTGCTTAAATGAATAAACAAATTCATTGGCTAGAATTTTGCAGAGGAAAATTGAATATTTGTTTATTTACAAATATAATTTAAATCTTAATTCATTATTTCATTAATAGACTAGAGAGGTACTCAAACCAAGAGGTACTTCTTTGAAAACTGAAGAATCTTGCAGTTTGAGATTCTCTCTAATAGAATAGAAGGAATCACATAGAATTTTTTTTTTTTTTTAATTTCACAGGGTATCTATTTCCAAGCTCAAAGTAACTTACATTCTCTTTATATGCCAAAAGCATAAACCAAAACATCTTGAAAATCTCTGACACTAACACCTCTCACATGCTATATTAAATTCTGAAGACAGTGAGCTAGGACCTCAGTGAATTGGCATACTCCCTCTCAACTCAGAATGAAAAAGCTTTGTGTATGAATTTCTGCAAGAATTTCTCAAAATTATGCTCATTTTTCATATAGAATTTTTAAAAATCTCAAAACAACTTTAATTTTTCAAGGTTCGTCTTGAAAAAGGGTGGAATGAAAGAAATGGCAGTTTTGATTAAGGATGTGCTATTAAATAAGACTAAAATGAAAAATGACAAGAAATAGTAAAGACTGGAGCTGCAAGCATTTCTGCTTTCCACTGTATTAGGGATTTTTAGAGTTATTAGTTCCAAATCATTCAGATATGTTAAGAAACTGTGGCTTTCTTGATCTCTTAAGCAACAATGATGCTCCCATGTACTGCATAATATTAATCAAGAGTGTTATAATCTGAACATATTCTGAAAGAGCCTGTCTTGTGCCTCTGATTTAGTTGTGTTTTTCATGATTAGCATGACAAAACTGTTTGATTATTAAACTCAAGCTTTATTAAATATTGCAACCTCTCCAGTTTCGAAAGTTCATATTCAGTTAGCTAACCCTTCCGGGAATTATGCAAATCTGATCAGATTTGCAACATGAAGATTTTTTCATTTAGAATTAGGATATCTAATATGCCCATAGTAATCCCAGGTACAATTTAAACAATGTCAATGGAGCAAGATCTAGGATGAATGAGATCCTGTATGTTTGTCCTTCCCCTTCTCAGTGTATCAGACACAGATAAATCAATTTGAGGGGCAGAGATTACGCTGCCTTACTACTGTTGAAAGAATAATACAGTTCTGATCTTCATATAGAAATAAAGAATATAATCATGAGCTTACCAAATGAAACAACAACATAACTGATCATGTCAGACTTCGGCATTTTCAAAGTTTATAAATACAATGCACATCAGTTTCCTGAAGGAATTACCACTGCAGCTGTGACTTGGTTCTGATGAAATACTAGGATATCATTCTACTTTTCCTAACTGTTGTTTTCAAAATATATATTTAAAGATACGATCAAAGTAACTACTGTCTTTGTTTGAACACCATGGGTCTCAAATATATTCAGGAAACTCTACTCTAGAGTTCTATTTGTTAATAACTGAAAAAAAAAAAAACCCCACTTTAAAGATGTTTGCACGTTTCTGTTCTTACAACATGCTGCCCTGATTTTTTTAAAGGTGCAAACAGTATACATCCACAGAATTTGAACAAATCATGAAAGAACAGTTTCTATGGCAACTTAATCTTGATCTATATGTGAGTCTTCATCTTCATTTCAACTGAGTCTATTACCGTTACTGCTATATAGCAAATGTTGTGACATTTGCAAATTTTTTGTTTGATTTCAATTATTTGTTAAAGACAAAGTGCATTGTAAGTTATATTTGAAAAAGTCACTGCATAATCTATTCACCTCAGTTGTTTATGTGGTACTGAAAAAAAAAGTCTAATATTCCTTTCGTTAAAGGCTATGGATTCACACTAGGTACTATTTTCTATAGGACAGCTATTGAAGAAAAAAAGGGCTGAGGGGCAAAAAGAATTAAATCAGATTTTACCAGGGGCAGGCACATTAGTGGGACTGCTGTCTACAGTTGCAGTTGGAGATTGCTCTCTCTTCTTGATTCCAGTTTCCATCTATGGGGGGGGAAGGAATCAAAAGTCATGAAATGTCATTTTATGAAATAAGTTTAAAAAAAAAAAAAGACTAGAAGTGCATGTTAATCTACAAGAGAGTGAGAGGAAGGAAGGCTGTGGGGAGAAAGAGAGGAGCGGATAGATTAAAAACCAACCCTGGGAGAAAAGGGAAAGGTGGGGGCGGTGAGAAGGAATGCCATTCCAAAAAAGAAAAAAAAAATAAAAATCAAAGGCATCTGTTCAGATCCACTGCACCTATAAACAAAAGTTCGCTTGTTTTGTGGCAAGGAACCACTTATGAAAATAACATCAGCCCATACATAATTGCAGGCATGCTCAACACAGGGCCAATTTTACATCAGGGACTTGTACAGCTAAGTTTTGAGTATCTTCACAGATGGAGATAACATAGCCTCTCTGGGCAACCTGCTTCAATGTTTATATTTCCGATAAGACAGAACAAACGGCCAAGAATTTCAAGTATGAACATAAGAACAGTTGAGAATCACCTCTTCTGACTTAGTATTTCACAAGGAACATTTTATTCTTCTTTGTTCAAACAAAATATTTCATTTATTTTTTTAAAATGCTATAAATTGTAAAAGTTCTTTGAAAAATTGAAATAATGGAGTAACTCTAAAATGTTCTTTCTTGCCTTAAGTACAACACTGCTTTTCAACACTAAGGGTGAACTATATGAATTAAAACAATGAATGTGATTCAGCCAGAAAAATGAAAGAAGAAAAAATACCACCATTCCCCTAGGATTCTGTTTTTTTAAATCAAAAATCTTGTTATCATGGAAGAGGTGTAATTTGTGAGATCTGTACTCATGCATAGATAGTAATAAAAGATTCCTTATGTTTGAAATATATAACTGAATAACTAGAAAATATCTAATTCTTATTTTTTACTGCCTAAAAACAGTAAAGAAAACCTTTGTATCTAAGAATGCAGTTGATGCTTACTTCAGTTGATTTGTTTTCTCATGACAAGTCAACTAGTATTCCTAGTTCTTTCATCAACGTGGTTTATTCTGCTCCTATACAATATACCATCTGGAAGGGTCTCGATATTCCAAAGAATGAATATTTTGCAGAAAGAGAAGTCAATCATTTTTCTTACTAGAATGGAAACTGAATTAAAAGAACTCTAAACTGGAATTTGAATAGAATTCAGAAAACAATCACTTGCTCAGTTTATACTAACAGGAGTCGTAAGTGTACTCACAGCATTTGCAGTGAACCTTGAAACAAGCTTCCCATTAGGAGATGCAAGAGGACTAAGTACTGCAGCCTGCTGCTCTCCATATGCTACAGAAGATGTTAAGAGACTGGATGGACGTTGCAGATCCTCTGAACAACTGGGAATATTTTTTTGTCTAATGAAAGCTATCTCCCAAAAACTTTCAAATCTAAAATTAAAATTAAAAAAAAAAAATCAGCATATTGTATACTATGTTGTTCATAAGATGATACACTACTCTTGCAAAAATTATGTTTTCCCAAACACTGTGTGTGATATCTTCTTTTTTTAAAGGGAAGTTCTATGTCCTATCACTAGAGCAGACATGTAGAACGTTTTTTGTTTTCTTTTAAAAGGAACGAAAATTTATCATAATTGTTGATTTGATCCTTTTTATAAGAAATAGTATTGCAATTGAGTATTTCAGAAACATGAATATCCCTCGTATTTCCTCTAAGCACAAGTGACAAAACATTTCATGCTAATCTGAACATAAGTATTGTACAACAATTCAACAAATACCTTGTATTTGTTCTGCTGATTATACTTTTTGCCTCTTCATAGGAGACACCAATCATTGACTCTTTGTTTATGGATACAAGCTGATCTCCAGACTTCAATCGTCCATCCTAATCCGTAACAAATAAAAAAAAAAAACCACGCAGAACCAGAAATTTTGTATCAACTGCTAACACTATAGGAAGAATTGTATAACCACAACACTTTAGCACACACCTCTGGATCTGTTAAGATAAGAAATACCAAGAATGACTATAAATTTTGCCTAACTAATCTTCAAGGAATAAACAGCAGATGAAACGATGGAAGACAAAACACAGACAATGTGTATTGTTGGCTTTCTTACTGACAACACAGGACATATAAGGACTCTAAAAGCAGCTCACACAATATATCCCATGTTGATACTAGACTTTTGCACCCTTTGTTTAACAGTGGACAACCACTTTATTCAATGAAACTGTCCAATTAACTGTTTGGACTTTTGTTTATTACATACCAAAACTAAACTGTCTTAAGCAAATCTATGGTTCCACATTAGCTTTTCCAGGATGGGAATCTTCTCAAGACCGTACAAAGTTCCCTTTAAATCAACTGGTATTCCCATACAGTAACCCGCATAAAACATATTTGGGGATCAAGGCCTCACCTAACAGATACTGATGCAGACACATTACATCAGAAAGTCCAGCAACTTGGCTACTGCAACAAAGCTCTGAGAATTGAAAGAGGTAAGTTCATAAAGCCTGTCATGGTTATTAGAGGTACTGAAAAAATCTTTTATTATTTTAAGTGAGAAACAAAAGTACATGTTCTATTCTCTCAAGTTACTGTAACTATTCTCTGCAATTATTTAACATCACCACAACCGCAGTCATTATAAAAGCTTCATCAGACAGAAATGACATCAGTGAACTTATCTAGGGAAGGAGTTTGGATCCATTTACTTATTTCTGTTAGAAAAACAAACCACAGATAGCGGTGCTTCCAGCAAGAAGCATCAACCAATCTGACTATAGGAAGCTTCTTTATTAGTTAATCCAGCTGTGAGCTGAATTAATTTGTATTTGAAGAAGCAGACATTCCTGCCTATACATGAGAATTTTCAGACACTTATTAGTCACACTAATCCTAATGAGGAAAATAGAATCTTCTGTTAGGAATTCACCAGTAAGGAGTACCATGGAAATCATACTGTTAACTTCGTGTTTTTGTTGAATTATTCATTACAAACTTTCTACCAATATAGAAAAGTATCACATTTCTTTCTCTGTAAGACAAGATGTTAAATATGCTAGGCTAGATTTCTCATTTACATAAAGCTCTTTTTACTCACATTTTAAAGAGGACTCACTAGTTTAACTGAAAATTCATGTCATTCACCTATTTATGACATACTAACCATATTCATGGTTACAGAGTTAAGAATTGCTACATTTGTCTAATGCGATACACATAAACTACATGCAACATGCTTGTGTTCTTCAATTTTTAAGAAATTAATCACAGAAACAACCTAAAGGTATGAAACAACTTTGTGCAAAGGAATGTTCATAGGAAATATGTAAATTAAGCTGGTCTTGAAGGACATGCTTGACTTATTTAATACACATGTACATTAAATTTTATCTGCTTGATATCAATCCAATGACAGAACTTTACTACATTTCTTGTCACTTAGTGTTTTCCTTTTGATAACAACGTCCTACATCCTCTATTCTGTTTGCAGCCAGCCTATTAAAACATGTAAACTTCAATGCTGCCCTCCTGTGGCAGAGACTTAAAATACGCTTGCTATTCAGATTTCTCAAACATTTGGATAGCCAAACTGAGGACATCATTGTCTCTTATATTGCTGATACTAGAATCTCCTGCAGATTAATGACTCGCTCTCACTCTGCTGATTATAAATGTGATAGGCTTTTATTATAAATGTGACAGGCTTCAAATTACATATTTAAGATGAGAAAATGTTTTAAAGGTCACAACAAAATAGGACAAAAGAAGAATGATTACTATTTATCTATGAAAAGAAGTTCGGAAAAGATAGTATACTTTTTTTCTTTCCATCACTGCATTTTAGGATTAACCTTCACCTAGAAAATTTTGGTTAGAAACAGCTATAGACCAAGTTTTGGGGCAAAAAACATTGCTGGTGAAATTAGCATATACTCTCATTTGGGAGGCAAAACCAGGTATTTATGCATCAAAATAATCATAATAAGACAGGATGCAAAAGGACACACTTTGATAAAGCAGTTTAGTTTGCTTGAATTGGATGAAAGAGAGCTCTGGTTTTTATTTCTTTTTTTAAACTTACAAATCCTCCTGGTTTATACATTACGTTTGTCATAAATGAAAACAGTAACCAGTACTGAATCATACATTTTACTAGCCTGGACAATCAGAAATTCTTATTATTCTAATCTCACCTATGTGATGCTTTCCAACTGTAAGGATCAAGCTAAATTCAGTCTGGGGGGAAAATGATTGTTTGAATGTCCAAGATAAAAAAAAAAAAAGAGATGCAGTCCACATCTCTGTCCCACTCCTGCTGATTTACCTTGCATCCATGCATCATTTAACCTCCAAATTTAATTTCTTACTTTCTCCTATGTAAATTGGGGAATAAGATCCTCATCTACCTCCCACTTGAATTCATAAATAATTCTGTACCACACCATGGTTACATGATGATGAATGAGATAATTCTCCTTAGGGAGGAAGCAAGGAGAAAAAAAACTGTATATTTACAACTCTAAAATTTGTCTTTACAATATAAATGTATATTTATAATACTAAAGTATGTTCAAAATGAAAGGCAAATTCAGATGACTGAAGACAAAAAAGAAAAAATCATTAAAAAAACAAAAGGTCTTTATATTCTCTACCTTATGACAGTCACCACCAGGGATAACTTCTTGAATATAAACCAAAGGCCCTTCATTTCTGTTAATTCCTCCTACAATATTCAAACCTAGGCTTGTTCCTCTGCAGACAGAGATAATCTGAAACACGCTATCCCTAGGAAAAGAAAAAAAAAAAAAAAGTAGAATTACTCCGCAGAACCAGATACTCTGTTAAGAGTCACAACTGGTATTATATCTTTATCTTGCTGATTTCATATATATGTATTACAGCAACCAAGCAGAAATAGCGAACATTTAATCCAAATATTCAAGCACTACAATGTCTACTTACTACAAAATCTGCAACTTCTGGTATTATTTCTGGCAATTACAACTTGTCTCGTAAAGAATCAATATATTATTTTACAAGACTAAAAACTCCCCCGTATTTTAGGTAGACTTTTGGGAGTACTTATGTAAAATAAACCAGGGACACGATTCATTAAGACACACTAAAATCAAAAACAAATTCAATTAATCTACTTTTACTAGGTAAACAATAAATAAATGGAAAAATTAGGAGAAAAATAATTGGTTAAGGCTGAAAGCATTTGTAATATCAACAGTATTGTCAATTACAGCATAAAAAAAAGATAACATTGAGCACTGAAGTGCTCAATCCAACATTTTCCTAAGCAACCAAATACAGAATTTTCTACAGTTTAAACAAGAGAGTTACAGTCATCTTCAAAAGTTACTTTGCAAGCTTTGGAGATGGTGCTAGGACAGCAGAATCATTTCTGCTGGTCATAGTGGTAAAATCCTTCGGATGCAACTGAGGACTCTGTGACCTTGAGGATGACCCAGAAGAAAGGCTGTCTATAGGTTTTGCTTAAAGAAAAGAAACAATCGGAGAAAAAAAGAAAATAAAACACACATTTGGGAAAAGGTACAAAGTTTTAACTCATGTAAGTAGTTCAGTAAGACTATTTTCATGTTAGAAAGCACAGAACAAACAAGTAATCAAACAACAAAAAGAAAGCTTAAGTCTACACAGCTAAGAATTGTAAGCCACCCACGGTTCCAGAAATATTATTCTTTAACACTTAGCAAGTGATGATTTTTTTTTTTTAAAACTGAGTGCAAAAAAAGAAGCATCTCAAGTCTCTTTCCTAAAGAATAATTGCACATGTTATATAAAAGGCATTCTATCTAGGCAACAGTTCCAGGAGGCTTAGAACTTAACATGATCTAGCTCGAGTTTTTACTGGTAGTTTGAAATCTTATGGCATGTTTTATCTACAAATATCAAACACATTTCACACTATTCACTAACTGAAATCACTGAAAGTAGGTGGTAGTATATTTATTTTAGAGCTGGGGAAACTGAGACACAGAGCAGTCAAGTTACATGTTTAGATTACAAACTAAAAATCATAAATAAACATATGTGTTTTGCCTGACTTCAGTCACTTGCTCCGATTGCTCTAACATACCCTTTCCCGAAATGAAAACTGTTTTAAGTGCTATCTTCTGTTCCACAGAAGGATGAATATTGTCATACAAGGTTATTTCAGGTGAGGAGGCAGTCTTGTTTTCCTACCAAGAAAAAACACAGAAATATTCTGATTCTTACCTGTCAATAGTTGCGTTGGAGAACTTCTTGCAGAGTCGGTGTTACTATGAGAGCCATACTTGTCCATCAGATCAAGAAATTCCTTCCTGTGGTAATAAAAAGATGCTCTTTGTCAGAATTTGACATCATTTCTAAACAGAACCTTTGAAATATGCTAGCTGTGTGTTTCTTTTGAACATTTACCCTTCCCCTTCCTAAGGCAGTAAGGCTCCTCAGTTGAAAGTGGAAAGTTTTGTCAAATATGAAAACATTCAGAAGAGGTAAGAAGAAGAATGTAATACAGAAGGATAAGGATGGAATAGCAATAGACTATGAATAAAATGGACTATTAGTAGAAAAGTTTAATTGCCTCTTTACCCTCTAAGATTTTTCAATCCTAATAGTTCAAACCAACTCCAGATACCAAAACAGTGGTATTACTAAGGTCCAAAATGCGATCTTTACATTAGAAGAAATCTGATAATATACCTATAATTTATTCATATGTTTAAGGAATGGTTTCAGTTTAACTATCATGGAAAGGAACCCAGAAGAGACCAGCAAACACAGTTGTAGCATCAATCCTGGTCAAAAAAATGGTAGAGAGAAATTAGCTATTTAAGCATAATTAAAACAGACACAAACTCTTAACTTCTATTTCGCTTTTTCAGAAATCTGCAGTATGTTTTCATCTTAAGTAGATATCATATATTAAATATTTCACGTGCTTGCATTTTGCTTATCTTTTTCATTATGAAATCTTCCCCCCCCCCCCCAAAAAAAAAAAAAAAAAAAAAAACCCAACTTTAGAAATAAAAATAAAAAACCCAACTGTTGAAAGCAAGGGCAGTTCTTCAGTTTCTGGATGAATATTTGAGCTATTATTTCTCAATCAAAATAAAGTCTTGTTCTACAGAACTAAAGTACTGGATTGGAAATAACACCAGTTACAAGCAAATAGGAAGACTAAATTTATGTTAAAAAGGCTTAGTTGTTAGTCAAATATATAATAGTTCCAAAGGCTATTTGTTTAAAATCTAATTATATTCCTACCTGTGCTTTGAAAAAATGTATTGCAACATACACATAGGAAAAGGCTGTATCAGATGTGCCAAAAAGAAGCGCTCTTGCTCTAAGTAGAGCACAAAGTTAATCCCCGAGTATGAAAGAGACAAGTCCTAGATAGTCCTGATAAAAAAAAGTGGGCAGTTTATTCAGGTATTTAGGTCAAATTCAATGGCACATTTTTAATTCCAATACACTCCAGGTTTTCCCTTTCTTTTTTTCATTCTGAAACAGTTTTGAGGAGGAAAAATAAACTTCAACTACTGAACACAAGCTAAACGCTTTTTTTGGTAGCAGCAATCTAAATTTGATTAATAATTAGCTTCATGTAAGGCAAATATGAATCTGAAGCTTTTAATAGCAACCACTCTAAAGTCTTGCTTTAAAAGAATAATATCAGATGAAGACGCCTATCAACTAATCAATAAAGTTACAGTTTTCCCTCATGCAAGGGAAACACTGTCAGGCTCACTGCTGAAAAAAAAAATAAATAAAAAAAAATAAAAATAAAGGTGGAAGTTCTTTCCAGAAACCCAACAGATCATAGCAAGCTGGCCAAAAAGCAGGAAAGCTGTAAATCCAATATTACACGCATTGAGAAAAAAACACAAAACTTCTTGATTAATCTAATAATGAATATAGCCTATTTTAAGAAAAAAAAATATGGATTTCAGTCTGAGTTATAAGTACCTCAGTAATAAAAGATATTAAAAAAGTAGAAAGAAAATAATCTAGAATGATGTGAACAAGAAACATCAGCAAATTAATGTTACAGAATTAGAGGGAGAGAACAGAAATGAACTGATTGCAATGAACGTAATTCCCAAGTAAGTCCAGTGACTACAGAGGGTTATTGAAATCTCAGCTTGATATATCATTTAAAAATAAAATAATAAAATTTATTGAAATAATGCTAAATCCAGGGGGCACACACAAACACAATTAAGTGTAAATCAAATAATCTTTCATCACAGGAATGTAGTCATCAAATGAAATTCTTTCAGAGGCATCTAAGCAACTGAGGGACTGTATGTAGTGGCAAATTCTGTACAAGCCTCTGGGCATACCACCAGAACGGTGTAAGGACTGATGGATTTTAATTATTCAAGGAGGTTAGAGGAACTAGGTCATTATGCTTTAGATAAAAGCAGATTAAAAGAGGACCTCACATATATCTATGCAGTCTGAAAAAACGGAGAGAATAAAGGCTACAGAGTCGTTTAAATTTCTGCCAACTACAAAAAGAAAGGGGCAGAAAGAGAAAGTTAAGGCAGATGAAGGGCTAAAGGAATTTAGAGAAAAGTCCTTTATGGAGAAGTTACTTAAGTGGAACATGCTATGAAAAGCAAATAACAGCTGGTACTCTTGAAATTATTATCAAATACAGCTACCTAAATCTTTGGAGGAAACAGCTGTTAAGTCAAAAGGGAGTATGGACCTGGATGGATTTCCTGCTTCTTTCCATCCTAGCATTTCCTATGATTCTATGCTAATATTGGTTTATACACTTAACTTCAGAAAACAAGATTAAAGCAATATTTTAGTATAAATGTCCTCATAATGGAGGAATTTTGAACTACCTGCTACACTGAACAGTTTAGCCTACTTATCCAGACTAACGCAGAGCTCATTAGAGATCGAAAAGTGAATTTAGGAGCACGAAAAAAAAGATAACTGCATCTGACTTTTCCAGATGGCAAGACCTCCTTAAATCATAGAGTTTGGTACTCCTGTGGGTCTAATATAATTTTTATTAATACATCTTACATCTTAAAATAATGCAAAGAAATACATTATTAACACAGCAAATAGCTTTTAATGTTCTTAGCTGGTAGCATAACATTTCAAAACTGAAATTGGAGCTTATCACTTTAATTGATGTACAAATTGTCATTAAACTAAATAGAACAGCTCATTTCTCATTGCCCAGTATACTAACAAAATGTTATCAATCATAACATAGACAGCTATGACATCTGGTGTAATTCTGTGATTCATTCTTAATCTAAATCCGCTACTCCAAGACAATCCAACAACTCCCAACTTCAGGTATAGCATTGGATTTTATCAGTTTTGAGGTAGGATATTTTTAAAACAATGTTTTATTTTTCTCTTACTTTGCTTCTTCATCTCTAGCAACTAGCAGAGACATATGATTGGATGCTGATGCTGTTCGCAAGATGTCAACAGCCCTAAAAGGTGGGAAAAACAACAAAGTATGTATACACCAGTGTTCTGTCACGAACTATACTTTGAGTAATGGTAAAACAGTAGGAAAACAAACAGATTCTTAAAGTAGTTAATCATTTTGGCTGACAAATGCAGAGAAAAAAGCTTGCCAATGGTGTAACCCAAATTGAGCACTGGAGAACTGAATGAAAGACAGGCTCTGCAGTGAGCCTGTGTCTGGTGACAGGAGTTTCTGTGTCTCTTCCAGGATCCACCCTATTACTTTCCTCGATTTCACTGAGGATTAGCAACCTAGACCAGAGCAGGGTACTGCTCAGGTATGCCCCGTTGCTCAGGATTTCTCTTAACATTACTCACTGTAATTTTTATTGGTTTGAATTTTAATTCTACACTTCACCCAACACTGTGGACTTTACGTTGATCACTAGTGATCCAGCTACAGAAACCATCCAACATATTCTACAGATTTTCTAAGCAACTTCTTCTTAATTGCCTCATTACAAATAAATGATACTTGTTAGCTGCGTCATTTATTTTCACAGGTATTAAAGCAACAAATAATTACAAAAATATTAATGTTACAACAGATCAATGTCTTAGTGCTATATCCAAATACACTTTATAATCTACAGCATTAAGAATTGGTTCATTCTGTCATTATACAAGCATATAAAGTCCTGTCATCTTCCATGACAGTTCTGCTGAATTAGATTTATAGGATAAATCCTCTTTTAATCAGTGGTTGATTTGGTTCAAAATATGTTACAGCATAAAACATATAGTATTCTATACTCTAATAAACACCTAGTCATCTGTGTAAACATACCTTTCATTGGTTACTCCAACTAAGTTTTCTCCATTGACATCTAAAATTAGGTCTCCAGTGAGCAAACGACCTTGTAATGAAATTAACAGTAATTTATGGATCAATAGGAAAATGGTGAACATATTACACCACTGTAATAAAAGAGAGCTTTTCCTTTCAGTTCTATGATCTAATGTGGTAGACATGGCCTTATGACTTTTAGTATCTTAGGCTCTGATTCTAATTTAGCTATAATATTGTCACAGACTAACAACCATCAGTATCACTAATCTCAGAACAGCCACTAAAAACAGCAGTGGTATTTAGCTATTTGTATTACTTACACATAGCACACATGTTTTTGCCAGCCTGGAATTCATGCTTCATAGTCGTAGAATTAATTTTCAGCTGAATTTTTATGATCACATGTATATCGGTTTCAAAGTATAAAAACATCAATGTTTTACACATTCTATAAAGATATCTATAAGAGTTTTTTGGAAGCATTTTTATTTTTAACTTTCTCCAAATTTCAAGTTTAGGAATTATCATTTTTGAAGTAGATTTAAGTTACTTTAAATGATCATTCTGTGTAAAGCCAAATGGAATCTCAAAAAAACATACACTGGTCTAGGATAGAATTATATTCCATAACCGTTTTATTACCGGAAAATTTTAGGATAATTTGTTCCTTCCACATTGAACATCTAAACCACAGTCAAAAAAACATTTATTGGAACTCATAAAAAATACTGGTTCTCTACATGAACAAAACACTCTTAACCCCTACAAATTAATGGCGATATCTCGTCTCTTATTTCACTATGCTGAAAGACTACCAATTGCTTTCACACTAGCTATATCTAGATTTGAATACATTTTCAAAAACTGAGAGTATTAAAATATTTTCCCATGAAGCATCTATGCTTCATGTCTGTCTTAAAGAGAAGTCACAGTATCATGAATAGTAAGTAATCCATGTTATTTTAAATATACTCATACATAAAGTAAAATAGAGATGACTGGTTTTGACAGCTTTTTTATATAGCAGGTTTGTAACAAAAATTTAAAAGCAATTACTTACTATCTACAGCAGCAACCCCTCCAGGTAGAATTCTCTTAATGAAGATCCCGTAATCTTCTGCTGTTTGTGCCCGATAACCTCCAATAATTTTAACTCCTGCAGAACAAACAAGAGAAACAAGCAAGAAGTTGTTTATTCCACCTACTGTGCCAAATGGATCTAGAGTCAAATCCAAAAAAAATGGATAAATTAAACTTCTGATGTCAGTGTGAAGTGGGAAAGCTCACCAGATGCTTTTAGATCTGGTTTACTCTTAATAAACAAAGCATGCAATCTAATTACCTAATCCATTCTGACAATCAGAAAAAGAAATGCGATGAACAGCTCGATTGATTCCATGAGGGCCCATAATAGTCCTAAGAAATAAAATAAAAGTCATCATGTTTGTAATTATAGAAATACATACAGTGCTATAGCAATACACAAGAGATTACAGTGACCATGTTTTTAACTGTAATACAATCAAAATTAGTTTTCTTGATTGACAACTCTATATATATGTGGGATACAGGAAAAAAAAAAAGAAAAATCAATCTGCTCATAATAAAACTAAGCTGGTATGGTAAAATAAAGTATACTTAGTTTATTCCCTTTTCCACAAAGCATTTCAGCCAAGTTCTGAATCCCACTTTGCAAACAATAAAAGGCTTATGATTAAATAGAAACAAAATCCCAAAGCCATGTCCAATTTAGGATCTAAGTAAGAAAACCACATCATAATTTCTTAAATCAGGTAACGAAACTTAAAATAAACTACTGCTAAGATAGTATATACAAAATTTTTTTTAAGATATAACTTTCTGGTTAGTCATGAACATAATCTTTTCCCTACAATCTCTCATTTCTTCACTCAACATTTTACTTTTTCTCCATTTATAAAGGCTTCTTTCCAAACCCTATTGCTTGCTCCTCAACGTGCCCTCCCCTATTCCAAGACAAAATATCAGGACGGCATGTGAAATTGTCTAAAGGCAGAGGAATCTTTGATATACACTTGACAATGGTGAAGAACTAAAGAAATTCACAAAGTAAAATTGAGAGTCTGGAAACCTAAATTTACAGTTCCATCAGAAATAGTCCCAACGTACTGCTCTGAGAATATAAAGCGTTAAGAATTCCTATAAATCCAGATTAGTCCTTTATCATTTTGTATTTTCATTCAGATGAGTTATTACAAAAAATCCAAATTATATCATATATCCTCTGTCTTTCCACAGTTCAGCTTTTGCACTAGACCCGTTGTACAAAAAAACAGAAACACTGCTAAAATTTTTCTGCTGCGACCTACGTCTTGTTCTGTATTAGCTGGTGACCTGCATTTTCTAGAGTATGAGGAAGTGAAATGGTACAATCAGATTTCATTAACGGGGGGAAAAAAAAAGAGATCAAAGTGGAGGACACAGTGACCTAAATCCTTTCACACAACCAAATCCAGCACACAGCTTGAACTCCAAGCCTGCAACTGGTTATTTCTATAAAAGCTGCAGTAATGTCCTTATCAGGACAAAGGAAAGAGAAATCCAGAAGGTCCAAATGTTCCTAAATTCCAGCACCAGGCAAGAGATGCAATGCCTACAGAACTTTCCACATTCCTCCTTTTTTGTATAACAAAATCAGATGAAAACTTTATCAAGGGATCCTTGCATTTGCTCTGGGGGGGAAAAAAAAAAAAAAACCAACCAACCAACCCACCCACCTATTTGTTCCACAACCTCAAATTCCAGGGATTTGCAAAATTCAGCTTTTATTTTAGGAAAGCCAGCCAAAAGAATGGACCTAATAATCCATCTTTAAAAACAAAAAGGAAGCCCCTGCTTCAAATGTTGTAGACTTTTCACTGCAGTATTTCTCTCAGTATTTGTTCTATAGGCTAAAAAAGAAATGATGAAACCTAATTTGAACCATATTTTGACGCTGCTAAGATTGCAAATGACCTTGCTACTGCATGACACAGCATAAGACTCCCCTTGTAAGGTGCAAAGTGAACCAAAGTGATTTACTTAATCACACTCTAAAAGAAATAAAACAAAAAACAATGTTTTCTAACATAAAACTTTTGATAAATTACTTGTACACTACAGCAGCATACTATTTTGCATTACTACCTAGTACTGTCACCTAAATTATTCCATGATTCTAAATTGTTTTGAAGACGAAAAACAATATACTAATCACCATTACAGGTCTGTCCTTGTTCTGTAACCACCTTTGAAAACTGAGAAGATAAAGAGCATTGATCTTTAAAACAAGCAGATAATTATTCTTTCTACTTTTTCCCACCTTGCCTTTTGCTACTATTGTTCTGTTTTATGTTCTGCCATGCTCTCAGCAGCTTTCATGTGGCAGACATTTCTTTATGCATTGCAAGTGTCAGTATCACAAACAACTGTTACTTACTTTTTGATATGTCAACCTTTCAATAACAGTAGGGTTCTCAACTTAACTGGATTTTCCTCAAGTAACTATTATGACTATACTAGTCCATCAAGAACATCTTTACTTTCTCCTGATCTTTTGATGCTAATATTAGTGAAGGCTGAAGGGTAGTACTACTGAACAGCAGTTATCTGAACAGAAAAATCTTAGTTTATCAACATCAGAATTAAAAAGAAATATTGAATATTAATATTAATAGGATTACCTTAACTTTTTAAAATTAGTGAATAAAAGAAAAGCAAGAACAAACTTTGTATTTCAGCTTTGCAAGGAAGTTTACTTTCATGAAATTTTAAAAGATCAAATCTCAGATTTTAAGTCTCCAGTATTTCAAATAAATACAGAGTTCATAAGAAACAGTAGAACCTATTTATCTCTTACCATGTAAAATGATGATAAAATACAATCAAACATGGGTACAGAACACTTACAGTAAGAAAGAATCTATGTTTCTAGAAGCAAACAGTCAATACCGTCACAAGAGAGACCCTAACTTACTTAAAATCCATACTGACAAAGTCATACAGAGCATACACAAAGACAGGATGAACTAATAATGTATAATGGAGAAGAAAAAGGTATCTTCAAAACAGGGAAATCATCATGATGTTGCCATCTACAATTAACATTAGATAGGACTGACACTTTGAACAGACTCTGTTACAAGGTATACAATAGTGTTTATGCTCTAAAGACTAAGTCCCCCTAATGTATGAGGCTTAAAATTATTTCCTAACATAAAAACTAAAGACAAGTACTTTCAAATGCCTAAACTAATTTAGGATATTACATCTTGCTGACTTTCAGTGTTCTCTCAAATGACATAGAGACAGATCCTCAAGACATGTTACCTGTCATCGTTGTACTAAAATAAACAGTGCTTTAACAGTTACACAAGGACTTTCACTACACAAGGACTTGGATTTAGCTCCCATTCAGCATATAATTCACGATTATTGAATAATCATAACATGAATTGTTAGATACTTCCCCCAAACATTAGAAACATACTCAACAATATATAGAAGGAAACAGGCATCTAAACTAATTGGCAGTGATAGCAAAAATATTTTTAGTGTTCTTTGTAGAAAAAGATGTAAACAATCAATTCATTCATTCCTACAGAAGTCATACAAAAATACTTGTCAACTAACTTTTAGCACACAGAAAAAAAAAGGAGTGAGAAAAGAGATAAAAAGAAACAAGATTACACAAAATGTGTGCTATAGCTTTATTACACTGAAATTATTCAAACAAATATTAAACTTAACACTTCAGCTGAAGCCCTGGAATGTTAATAGACCAAGTATTCATATTTTTACGTAGAGGCTCTAGTAAAGCCAGTTAAAATGAAATCTTTGGTACTTACATGTTTAAAAAAAAAAGTAATAGAAAAAAGTAAGTTCAGCAGCTTTCTATTATACACCTTCTAGAGACTTATCAGAACATGAGGCTCCGGATACTCTATTGATCTATATCCCTCAAAAATTACGAGGCACTAGTCCACAAATGAAATACTTAGCTGCCTTTATCAGTGGAAGAAAAACAGCCTTCCATCGCAAAATCCATATGATTTGACACTTCTACAACAGTATAAATGATAAACCCTGGTTGCTTACAAAAATAAAACATAATCTGTAAATGGCTACAGCTTTTAAAATATCTTTACTGTACTTTCCCAAATTACAGACCAAGGAAATCTCATCAGAACCTAATGGCTCAGCATACCAGTATAAGAGAGAGAGACCATCAAAACGCTCTGGTTCATCTTCATCTCCTGGTGAGAGTAAGGACATTCTTCAGTACAGCAGAAAAGACAAAGTATCCAAAATGATCCAAAACTGGAGGTTTTCAATTCAGCAGCACAAATGATACACACAGAACAATTTCTTTCTTTTTTTTTTTTTTTCTAGTTAGTAGCAGAAAATCAAACAGCCTGAGACGAGTGTCTCTGCCTCCTTAATCTCCTCTGAAACCCTCTGCGTCACAGGGACTAATTCACCTATCAAGGCAACGCTTACTTTTTCTCTTTTTTAAATGGCAATTTGTAGCAACTTTTAAGACTGATGATAAACTCAAAAGAAATAAACTTCACTTGCATTGATGACAAGTGTGGTTATGCAAGCTATATCTAGCAGCAGTCAAATGAAACAAAATAATTATTGATTGTTCCCTCCAAACAGGGTCAAAAGCAATACCTCATGATCTTTCTAAAGCAATCTTCCCAATAAATTGGATTATATACATCCACACACAAAAGGGAAAGCCAACAAAGCCGACAGACTGAAAGCAATAATGAAACAAATGCCATTGTGCTAATACTCTGCATTCTCAAACATGTTACTGACTTACATGATGTTTTAATACGGTTGTACTGTTTTAATATACAACAGTCAAAACTTAACATAGAACTTGGTATATTATCTGTAGAAATAGAAGTTGACACACATTTGTTTTTGTAAAGGCAAACAATAAAAATGGTGCAAGAAATATGATCCCATTTTTATAGTATATCTTGATGTGTTTTATAGTACAAGTAGGTGAAAAGTAGATAAAGGTGGACTTTAGGAAAATAAAAAAAAAAAGGAAGGACTTTATAAGTCATATTTTAGATTTTGCTCAATGGGATCTGTCATTGCTTTGTTCCTTTCTAATCTAACCTAGTAAGGCTTCTTTTAAAAAAAAAAAAATTAATTTTTAATTTGCTGATTTAGAATATCCACTCTCAGCATTCAGCAACCTAAACTGTTCTCCTAAATTATCCTCCACGTGTCAATGCCTGCTTCCAGAGATACTTTGTCAAAGCTACCAAAAAAACAAGGTAGCTTTGCAGGGCCTGCTTATTTCAGGCAATCCAATGGGGTATCAGCAAAATACCTAGAGGAAAGAATTTCTTCTGTTATGTTGACTATAATTTAGTTGAAAAAGGAAACATACACAACTACTCCCACAGAGGTAAGACTCTCTGCTGACCTGAGGCTTGATCTCTGGAGAGATACACACCTATTATTTTAGAAGTTCTGAGCTTCCGATGTCAGTTTGAGTAACTATTTTCTTCCACAGTTGTTTACAAGATTTTTTTCACCAATCTGCAGAATAAGCACACGCACTCCTATTACCCTTCCTCTCTCTAAATGATCTTTAAAAGATTTCTGTTTGAAACGCCAACTGCGTGTGCTGTATTCGCTATGGGCTTTGTTTAAACAGAAAGATGAAACCTCTCCAAAGCAGAAAGCAACCTCGTGATGAGACGGCATCAGTTAGTGCCTGGAGCTGCACAGCAGGACATCTTGGTTGTGCTATCAATGCACATGCTCATCTCAACTTTTTTTTTAAAGTTGCAGTGTTTATGGTTTGATTAATACATAATTGTTTTGGAGAAAGGATTTTTGATCTTTTTGATTACAAGCAATGTGCTACATATTGTCCACATATACTGAGGTCAGTCCCAAGAGCAAGAAAAGCCTGCAAGCTAAATGCAGAGACAGACAGAAAGGTAAAGCGACCTCCTACAGATTATGGAGCAGATCAATGACGGAAGTGGAAACATAAACCAGCCTTGCACTTCCCACAATGTGAAAAGCTCCACTGGAGTCACGTGGATTGCTCACATACATTTAGCGAGGGAAAATTTGGCCCTATATATTCTTATCTAAATCAATTAAACTCTGCTAGTGTTACTAATATTTGAGCTCAAGAAAAGAAAAGCCATTGATATTTTAAGCACGGTATCAATGAGATATGCTCTAAGCAAGTTATGTAAGATGGTGAATAAGATCCCAATACTCTTTCTATAAAAAAAAATTTTTCACTGTTCTTAATATCAGTAGAGTTCAATTTGTGGTATCAGTGGCAGGAAGTTTTGTCAAAAATCACTTTGACCAATATGGCTTTCCTCGTTTCTAGTTTCACATTCTACACAACAGAAACACACATATAGAAAATCAGTGAAAAAATGTGACTCATAGCTATGTATTTCAATTATTAAAAAGGTAACATGCTTTTTAAAAATAAACCAGGCATGACAAAGAATTGCTGACAATGAAAGTAGACACAAAGTAGTGTAAATTTTTCATTACTCCCACCTCCTCTCATTAGAGTTCTTTTATCATCAGTACATCACTCCTTCAAAAAACTGCTCCTCCAAAGTAACACTATGCATTGTTCAGCTTCCTGAACTCACCCTCTAAGTTTCTATCCCCCTTTATCATAAAATTCTACTGCTACTTTTAGTGTTTCTAATGGAGTCATATAGAAAATTGATATTATTGCTTTTCTTGACTCTTCTCTGCCTTTAAAAAGCATGCTTTGTGAACATCAATTACAAAGATCGAACAATACAGCTAACAATACACTTTAAAATGCATAAAATGTAATATCAGTAAGCAAAATCAAATTTTCAAGAGACATTTTCTGCTATCTTGTGAGGCAAGCAGACTAAGATTTTTTCAGAGCTAGTAAGTTATTGTCTTCTAGCAGCATTATGACGACTCATTTTTCCCCAAAGACATTTTATAATGGTTTAGCAAACAAGATAGAAAGATTTGCCCAATCTGTAGTCTGCTGAATTATCCTATAAACCTTGGTAGCAAGACTCACAAGATCTTTTCATTATAAATAATAAAGGCTTTTGTAAAAATCCTATAGAAGTTTGTTATGTAACTGAAGCCTTCCAGGTTCACAGACCTTAAAGGGTGAATATTCATTAAGACGTTAAGGATGATAGTTAAATGTACACTTTATTATATAGTATCAACAAACACTTCCTTCCACTCTATCCAAACCCACTAATTATTCAAAATGCATTTTGCTGACTAGGTTATTATAAAGATTAAAAGAAAACATATGCCATTATATGGCAAAATGTTAAACATGCAAGAAAAAAGGCATGAGCCACATTGTAATTGTGGAGAAATATGAATGGTTTGGGGCTACTCCCTCGTATGGAGAAAAATACGTTATTTAAAGTTTAGGTAAAGCTCAATTAACATCTAACTAAGTACATTCTTGAAGTGTTGTACGTTGATACCTTGTCTCTCAGAAGAAAAATAATACATATTAAATACATAAAATGGTAGTCTTGCATCATCATGAAGCTGACGTATGAAGCTATGTGCATGCTATTCAGGTTAATCTTTTATTTGAAAAATTGGTTTTTGGAGTGATCTAGTAACTATGCAATATATCTTCTAAGTGAACCAAGCAAAATATAACTGTTTTGAAGACATATATCTTTGTATTACATATTCTGTATTTCCCTCTGACAAGCATAGCGTTTGCCTCTTCAGATCCCAGTGAAAAGGAAATTAGCTTTTTAAAAAATGTTTTGCTTTTTTAAAAATCAACTTATCTTTGAAATGGCATAACTCAGAATTGGTGCTAAATGGCTTGGCAGTATGTTTGATTTGTTGAGGTTTGTTGGACCTACTGCATAAGCACAGCAAACATGAAACAGTCCAGCATAAGCTGTCTATGTCTGTTTTAAGTTATGATTTTTCCTGACAAGGTTGGCATGGTTATTTAGCAGTACGGGGAGAGTCTGCAGTTAAGATTTTCAGTTGCGACTGAATTTGAGTTTGACATTTAGCATCTAAGCTAACTTTTTCCTAAATCAAAGTGGATAACATTATAGTTTATAAAATTAATAACATAATCATTGTATTTCCCATGAGACTGACAAAAAATTAGATGGTTCCAAAGCACTGGATATAAAACATTACAGACACGCAGACATATCATTTTGAAAAAATAATGCATTATAATACATAAATCCTTACTGCATGTTAGATTACTGTAGTTACCATCCATATACATATAGGGAAATAATTTGTCATAGACCTTACAAATGCATTTACATAGTTTCAGAAGCATTAAGGAATTTTTATGAGGGGTTTTATCTGTGGAGAACCACTTTTAACCTAGTGCTGATTACCTTAATGAAAAGTTTAAGAGCTATTTCTTTCCTTTATGTGTAAATTTGATGGTGTTGATATGAGCTTTTGTGAGAAGCTGCTTCAGCCTGTTTCAGTATCAAAATGTTTCTCCTTAAGAAATCATCAAAACAAGATCCTACGAATGAAAGTACTATAATTTTCATATGACAATCCAATAATTGTTACAGTCCTGTCAGGGGGGAGAGGAAAGTACTTACTTTTTACTTGGATTTCTTAGGGGCTCTGTACAGGACATCTTCTTAGTTGCACTATTTTAATAAAAGCTCAGAATGGAGAATTCGGAAACACGAAGCACTGGCTCATAACCAAGATAATAATTGCTGTAAAAAAGGAGTTTTTGAAACTTAAATGGCTATGTTTATTTTCAGACATTGACAACAACTCTTATTTAATATTGACTAGCTGAAGATAAATGGGAAAAGAACTTTTGTGCAAAACCAGATGCACTTCATTGCTGAAAAGTAAAACAGTAAGTTGCTACCAACTCAGACTTAGCTGTGCATTGTACCAACATATCTGACAACCTGATTTCCTCTGTAAGTTATGAGGCTGTAAATAGGAGTAAACCCAAACCCTCTGTTATTTAAGCCTTCTGAAAAATCCACTAATCAAGATTATTTTATCAGAGGGAACTCATATAACCGCAAAAGACAAAATAATGAGCTCTGACTTTCTTCTAACAAAAGTTATTGGGGGAGAGAATTTTATTATGAACAAAATACGGGGTTTTATTTTTTGGTTTTTTTCCCATATTTTTTAACTTAATATCTAGTATTCAGCACCCAGAGGCACTTCTGAATTCTTAAGTCAAGTGTGAAACACATAGGCCAAAAGGCATACCAGATGCAGTTACATATTACTAAAAAGGTGTAAAAACAGTAATTCAGATTTTATTATTAGTACAACAGGTCCATAAGAAATACAACATTTGAGCTACAATCCTCTCAAAAATTACTGGAAAAGCACCTATACAAAAATATCTGCTTTCATCAGTAGCAAATCTTCCTGACCTTATGAGCTGTATGGTTAAACCCTCACACAGCCAAGAACCAGAAGACGTACACTGAGGGGCACAAGAAATGTTGTAAACACCTGAGGCAGGAGAGAGCAACAGGTGCCTGCGTTACCAGTGATCCGCTACGAAACTGGGCCAAGCTGAACTAAAGCAGGCTTACGAGATTGCTTCAGGTGCACAGTATCAGCCTCCGCAATGACCAGCTCTGAGCGATTTATGCAGGTTATACTTCTGCAAGAAGGGACTGACACATTCATTTTGGAAGAACACAGGTTTTTTTTAGCAGCAGCTTGCCGTAAACGTTTTCCGATTTCTCGCTCAAGGACCAGAAATAACGCTGTCTAAATAGGAAAATCTGCCATATTGCTTCTCTCCAGGCTGAATCACCGTTCCATTACTCAGCCCAATTAAAAGAAAAATGAAGCCGTATCAGGAGCTGCTAAAGCCACTGTGTGACTCAAAATTACTGGAGCCAACGAAGGCGGAAAAAAGCAGCGCTCTAAAGCCGTAAACTCAAGGGCTGCTACAGCGAAGTCTGTTACAACGCATGCAGGAGCAGTCCTGTTAGGAAACATCCCATCTGTGAATTTCTCTGAACCTGCTTATCCTGAAACGATTGCTGTTTAGAAACAGCGCAAAATTATTTTGCAGCATGTCAATGTTTTGCACCTACACAAAACCAAATCAACGCGCAACAAGATGAAGCTAAACATTAGCCAAAGCACCACTAGGGGGAAAAAAAAAAAAGCAAACAAGCAAAAAAGACTGTGACCATGTGCATAAAATACAGAGACAGCCAGGAAGAAAAAGAGTAGAAGTTTCCTCTCTGTTAAAATGCCACCACATCAGTGTCTGCCACCGTGCCTAAGGAAAACACCGCAAGCGTCCGTTTTGGTGCCTCCAGCAGCACTGCAGTACAACATCAGGCA